AGCATTAAGAGCAGAAATGGGGGGAAGCATCTAGCCTGGCTCTGTTGTTTGTCATATTTTACACTTTGGCTTTAGTAAGAATTAAACAAACAATATTAAATGTGTTAATTAATGAGCTTTAAGATGGTGGGCCTGTTTTATAACCTTTGGACAGGTCAGGCTAGCTAATTTGGGCTTAGTTAAATACCATCTAACTTAAGAAGGTGCAAATGTCAATTTCACAAAATGTTGAACTATTCCTTTAAGAAAGGGTACTTTTTCACTTTTTGAGGAGCAAAGATACTCCAAAAATACATAGATGTTCTTGGCATGGTAAATTATGTATCTGACAGAAATTTTTTCATTTTCACAAAAGAGCAAGCGTCTAAACCAGCTTTAAAAAAAACAGATCCCACAGCCAAAAAGACCAACCATACAAAAGGATTGTTACGTGAACAGACAACAAACAGCCTGTAATCTCCAAGAAATAACTGCTGACATCGATCAACAACCTTATTAAACTTAATAGTAACAATAGTAATTTCACGCTGAATGGCAGTAAATACCTTTTACAAGAGAGGAACACGTGTTTATTGCTCAGAGTAATAACACAGAGAGATTGGTTTGACTTGGTCTGAGGACTGAAGCAACATTTTACATCTGCCGTGTTTCCAAGGAGACAAAAATGAAGGTCGAGTCAGCGATTTCACTGTCATGTTGACAAACTGGTTAATCTGCCTTCACTGAGCAGACACAGACTTCTGCAAACAGAGATCTACATAACAACGCCCAGCCTGCACTTGAATTAATTAATGAAGGCAGAACTTTACCAAAAGTAGTTCCAAGCTAAATGACAAACGTTTAGCGAACAGCCTTCAGTGGCATCTTTTAAATCACTTCTCAAAACTTATCTTTAAAAAAAAAAGAAAGTTTATCTAGTAATCTATTAATTAATTATACTATTATAGTACACATTTTTATTTCTAACATGTCTAATCTGTTTTATTATTAATGTTATTGTTTTTATTTTATGTTTTCATTGGGTATTTTTATTCTATGTTTATCTCTGTATTATTTTAATTATTTCCACATCCACAAATGACATCTACCATCCATAAACAACGAGCTCCCTCTGCTGGTAAATTATGGTGAAGCAGCAGTATTTATTAGTGAAGCTTGTTCAAGTGATGCTGGCACATTTACTCTTCTGTTTCAGCGAGGCAACACTGGGGCAATAAACAGTGCCCTTACACATGTTTCCAAACTGAGATAAATGCACAATAAAACAGGTGAGATGACCGCAGGCAAAAATACACAAACCTCTAAAAGGACAAAAGTTTGTTTCAAGTTCCCAGAAACTAAAGTTTCCAAATCATATATCCACAACTTAATAAATAAATATGGTATAGTAATATAATAACAAAATAAGCCTCTACTCACACAAAACCATTACCAAAATGGGAAAAAAGTTTATGCAGCGAACACTTTTAAAGACTTTATCTAGAAGGATATTATTGTAATATCAAAGTGATAAATGTCAAGAACAGATTATCTCTCTCTATTTTCAAATGAAGCTGAGATGCACTGTATGTCCACAGAGGGTGACACATCTAAAGACATGCAGAATAACTCACAGTACATGGGCACTGATGAGTCATATGAATGCAGTTAGCAGTGTTAGTCAGCATAGCTATCCAACAGAAACATTTAACAACAACGGATGATAACCAGCGAGAGTACAAGAAGCAAGAATTAAACTGCAAATCCTGACTGCTGCTTTCACTTATTTTGCTTGATTACACCTCTTCTCAGGACTGTGTATGTTCACATTACATTTTTGTCCTACATATAGTTTCCCATTCAATTTTATTGAAGCCTGTACAATGGACAAATTCAAGCATTCCCTTATTCAGCACTTCCGGACTCGGGGGACAGCGTTCCCCTTTGATTAACTTTGACTGAGCAGATGTGCAAAGCTGACCAATAGAAACACTGATGCAGTGTGTTCGGAAACTGTACCGTTGTTCTCACACGCTGTTTATTGTTTGTAATCACTCAATATCAATATGTATTTATTACTCACATCAGGAACATGACATGACATGACATCCTTTTTTTACTCCAACCAGGGGTGCACATAGAAACCCAAAGAAATCATGCAAGGAGAGAAGAAACACGGAAATGTGTCTTTAGAGAAATAAGACATCCTTTCCTCTGAAGCATCACATTAAGTGCCAACCATTTCTGATGATGAGCTGATCACAGCTGGATCAGGTGTCAGTTGGCTCACAGCTGTAGAGGCGTCACAGTTAAGCTGATGATACACACAGCAACTTTTAGAGCAATCGTGCAGGGCAACGTTGCCGTCAATGGTAATGAGTAAAGATTACTATCGTAATCCCCTTCCCTCACCACTCCACCCGCCCCGTACCGCCGCTATCTGCTCAAAACAAAGTCGGACTTGCCACTAGCAAGATTGCCCAGCAACATTGCTCAAAAAGTTGCCCCGTGTATCATCAGCTTTAAAACTGCAGAGCAGCATGTTTTCTCTCTGCTTGTACAAGTCGTGACAAGAACAAATCAAAACACAAAAAGAGTCCAGTGTACCAAATAATTTTTTCAGAGGGCCTTTTCAGGTAAGACATGTTGACATGTTACAGAAGAAAAAGCATAATAATAGTGAACAAGCGCAAAAGCTGCTACAGTAAAGGTCCAACTTGGAGTTGGTGGCCAGACGTTAACCCTCAGCCCAATTAGTCTCTCAGATGTTATCCTTAATGACATCGTATGGCAATAAAAAGAACCAATATACATTTTTTATTCATTTAGCTGACTCTTTTATCCAAAGCGACTTACAATTGCTAATTATGTCAGAGGTTGCACGCCTCTGGAGCAACTAGGGGTTAAGTGTCTTGCTCAGGGACACATTTGTGTTTCACAGTGGATTGGAACCCGGGTCTCTCACACCAAAGGCAGGCGTCTTATCCACTGCGCCATAACCAAAAATCAACTGTATTTGCAGTAAGACTGATTTATCCTTTATTTTTTCCAAGATGCTACCCACACTTTACAACGTCAGCAAAACCAAGGAGCGGATTGTTGATATTTGGAATAAGGTTTTAGATTGATAGTTTTAGGTTCCTGGGAATCACAGAGAACCTATTATTGCCATCTCACATCTTCACGCTGGGAAAGAAAACTCTACCTGAAGTACAATGTGTTTTATTGGCTTTTCTTTATCAGAAAGTTGCTGTATTAATATAGAGTCCCTACAGTCCCGGCACTGTCATTTGGTCAGACTGAGAACAATCATCCTGTGCAAAAATGTTCCTGGGATAACAAATTGTTCCCGTGCAGGATGCCTGACTGACAAGTTGTCCTCCAAAATGAGAAATTTGTCGATGCATGTTGCAGTTAGGAGGATAGTAGCACTAGAACGATAAATTGGCCTGGTCAGTATAACAACCAATATCGGCAGATATATCATATTGGTATATATGTCAGCCAATAAGTAATAAGAAATTTCAGTATAGAAATTCCAAACTGGGCTTGAGATAATTTCCATTACATAGTTCCAGTTAACACGGAAAAGTTAATTTTTCAACCATAAAATAAAATGTGATCTGTGTCAAATCAGATCATTTTATTTTGTTCAAACCTTGTGTATATGCTATTTGGGACCAGAAATAAGTTCTGTATAAATATTGGGAATGTTGTCACTTTCGCCCCTAAAACGTCTTAGGCAGGAAGCCACTTTTAGGGTTCAATATCTTCAGACACAACTCCCGGAGCCATGGGAAATTGCTGGTTTTGGGGACCCACTCAGTCCTGTAAAGCAGTGGTTCTCAAAGTGGGGTTCGGAGACCCCCTGGGGTCCTTGAGGAGGTTCAAGGAGCTCCCCAGCAAAAAGCGGATTAGTTTATTTTCACTATTATTCCATCCATTAGTAACACAATGACAGAATGTATGAAAATATCGGTCACAGATTTCATATACTTTCAGTAATTAAACATCTGTTTTCATACTTTAGGGGTGGTGATGGTGCAGTGGATAAGACGCATGCCTTTGGTGTAAGAGACCCAGGTTCAACTCCCCACTGTGACACATCCATCAATGTTTCCCTGAGCAAGACACTTGACCTCTCCAGAGGCATTTGACCTCTGACATATATAGCAATTATAAGGAAGTATTTAAATGTAAATACTTCCAGCTAAAAATACAGTATTTTGACCAAGTATGACAGGCCAAGGTTACTATTTGTTGCCTTTGTAAGATGCCACAATGGTGATGTGGTCTAGTTCTTAGGACCATGAAAATGTGCGTGTGATAAGAAGTCTGTATGTGGCAACTTTGGGTGTAAAATAATTCTTTCCATGTCTTGATGTTTAAATTGAACAAGATATGGAGCTTATTTTGCCCAATCGACTAACATTTTGAGTGCAGGTCTTGTAACAGAGTAGTTATACAGTGTGGTATTAGTACCCTAACTCAAAGTAAAGGATCTGAATATTTCCTACACCGCTGTGTATCTGACATGCTGAGCCGCTGCCGCTCTGCGCGCTGTCCAGCAGGGGTGGTGCTGAAAAGCCGGAGCTGAGGCCTGGCATCCCCCCCCCCAAGACAGGCCTCTCACACCTCACCTCACAAACATTTAAATGCTCGCTGCCAATATAAAAACCTCACTGCTTTTAACACCGACCAGTGAGTGCACATATAAAACAGGTTAACGCCGGCACTGGTCCGCCATCTAAGCGACCAAATCACGGTGAGAGATTCACGACCAGAAAAACAAACCAGACACCGCTTTCAATCACGGACAAATATAGCAAATAAAGTTAAGTCTGGGTTTATTTTATGTTGCATTCTGTCCACAGATATTAAAAAGCACTTCCTATGCATCTTTAGAGACAGGAAACAACATCCACACCGCACCTCCCCCGCCATTAGCTTCCCGGGTATACCTCACACAATATGCCAAATAACAACGGCGTCAAGCGGCACCGAGGCAGGTGGCTCCCTACCTTTTGTAGTCGGAGGAGAAAATCCCTCCGCTCGCCGGGTCGTGACCATACTCAGGCTCCCCGACACTCGACGAGCCCCCCTTCTCATCGTTGAAAGCAGAGCTGGCGGACATAGCCGTGGCTTTCTGTTTTCTCTCCCCCTCACAGAGCAGTGATGGAGATTTAGTGCAGAGGGCAGCAGGATATACGGCTCTTAAAGGCGCACAGACACGCGGCCGCTATCTCTGGGATGCTCGGTGCAGAGGGGGGATGATACGGTGAAAGAGGAGGGATGACGCTCTGGTCACGTGATTTTTATATATCTTGTAGTCCGGAAGTATTTGACACAGGTTCCCTCAAGATTCCCTCACTAGATCTCTATTACCGTTTTTTTATGCACAGACAGTGGGTGGAAAGTCACTAAGTATAGGCTACGTTTGCATTAAGTAGCCTACTGTGTAATACAGTTTTGAGGTCGGCCTAAGTCTACTTGCATTTTCCTTGAGTTGCCTAATTCTGTTTTTCAGTGGTGGAAGAAATATTCAGATATTTTACTTCAGTATATTAGCAGTAATACAGTTTAAAAAAACCCAACTCTGTTACAAGTAAAACGTTCTGCATTTAAAAAGTTTAAGTACAAAAGTAGGGGAAAGCTGTGACTGAAACACTTTTCAAAACTTTTAAAAGATAATGTTATACACAAATATTTTTTGTTATGATCAACAGCTCACATGTGTTCTAGCCTATAAATACCAGGTGCTATTTTGTACAAATGTGTAACGACTTCAGTGTAATTTTACTTAGAACAGAAGTTGCGTATTGTTTCCTCATTAGTGGGTCGAAAGAAACCAGTTTTTCAAACAAACTGTCTGCTTGAGTGAATTTACTTTCCCTGATTGATAACAGATTCTTCAGTATAACTATGCAGAAGTGTTACTTGTCCACCCAGTTTATCGTAGTTCTGGTTAAGTATTGTGTACTCTTTGTGCTTATACTATTTGGCATATCAGAATTGTATGGGCTCAGAGAAAATTGCAGTGTTACTTTCGCCCCACGTTAGTAGTGGCTTATCAATATATACTTAAAGTGCCAAAAGTAAAAAGTACTCATTATGCAGAATGGTCATGTTGGATTAGATACAGCATTGTGTACATCATCTTAATGTTGCAGCTGGTAAAGGTGAAATTTTAATTTATCCTATATACTGCTGGGTAGCTTTGCCTATAATGATATCTCATAATATGTTAGTAAATTTTATATTTTGTATCAATAATCTAATTCTGCAACACAAAAAGTAACTAAAGCAATTTTGAGGTAGGCCTGTATCTTACTCTATTTCTGTTTTCCAGGGGTAAAAGATGTATTGTGATCTGCTTGGTTCACACTGCTGTAGATTTGCTGTCTGACTCCAGGCCTGCAGAACTAACTGGCCGGGTAATCAGCAACTTGGGACACACATTTGGCCGGTCTGTCCGATGTATATAAGCCGGAGCAGCAGTCGGTCTTTGGGCTGATATCCTCATCTCACATTTTGGCATTGTTGTGCTTTATTTCCTTTTTAAAGCACAAGATCCATGCAGCACATTTTCACTCATTTACTCCCCCTCACTACTGATTTTACAGATACCTCCCATCCATGGCTTTGGTTTGGTTTTGCTTATTTTGTTGCAAATAAATTACTGTATTATTTAGTTTGTCTCCCGTTTTTGTTGCAATCCAAGAGTCGGGCTGTGACAATATTCATATAGTTTACTTAAGTAAAAGCAGCAATACAGTGTAATCAAGTGTAATACAATGTAAAATAGTCTGTTATCAGTCACAGTATTGCATTATTTAAAGTACCAAAAGTAAAAAGTACGTATTATGCAGAACGCCCCATTTCAGAATTATATATATTGCTGGATATTACTGGATTATTATATATATTACTGGATTATAACTAGTGATCAAAATGGAAATGGAAATAATCAAGTAAAGTACAAATACCTCTAAATGGTCTGTATTATAGTTGGTCAGTAGCAGTGAGTGATTACAGTTATTATGATTTCTTTAGTTTTATAAGTAGGAATTTATGTGAATGGTATCTGAAACACGTGCAGCAGTAGTTGTTGCAGTTTTAGGTATAAGGTATAACTAGAAGCAATAGTAGTAGAAGTAATAGTAGTACTAAACTGTAGTAGTCCAAAATAAAAGCTGAAGCATCTCACTCATTTACTGCCACCTAGTGGAGAAATAAGCATTTTGCAACAATCTTCTGTCAACTTTATCCATAACCATTCAGACCCTCCTTCCTTCACTCACTCAGACATGCAGGCATTTTCATCATAATAATGGTATATTTTAACTTTTTTTTTTCTGCCCAGGTCACATATATTTAGGTTTTTATTAAAAACTGCTGTACTGTTTCAGATTTGTGGAAACTTTGCTATGTAAATTGTAAACTGAAAAACCACCTGTATGAAGCCAACTTCAACCTCCGAGATGTCTCCTAGAGGAGTCCAAACTGACACAGGGGCGCGAGGGTCGTCACGTTGCCATGGCATGTTGAAGCGAAGTTAGCTTGGGGCAGGATCTCCGCTGTTTAACGCAGAGAGCGAAATATACTCAGTTAGCTAAGTTAGTTATTAAAAGAAACAGAAGCTTTTTTTCATAGTAGGGAAGACGCACAGAACACGAAAACGTATATCCTGTGGGAAAAAATGAAGAAAACTAGCGTGGTGCTCGATTCGGAAGTTCATAAGTTAGTTTCACAACAAGTGGTTCTAACGTTAACTCATGAGAAACACATAAGCTAGTTAGCTTACCTAAACTAGTAGCTGTGCTTGCCTAACTGTTATGTTAATGTGTTATTTTGCTTTCTCCTAGATTTTCCCGAGCAATGACTCATTCGACAATTCATCAAGTCAGTCAAAGACACATGTTGAGCTGCACAGGTTCACAAACCAAAATAAGTTCCATCTTGGTCGGTGGCAGCAACATCAAACTGACTGACAGGAGCGACAAGCAAGCTCACCGAAGAGCAGTTCGGGTAACTTATCTGTTAAGTTTAAATAGTACTCTCAAAGTTCTTATTTCCTGTCACAATAGTAATATTTACGGAGCCCCTTAAAAGCCTGAAAGGTGATTTTTTTTCTTTTCTTGTGCCCACAAGGAGGGCTCAAAATTAACACCAGGCAAATACTGGTAAATTATGCAAATTGATGGTAGCTACTTCACTCACCAGCCAAAAACAATGGTAGCCTAATCTACTGAGTAGCTGGTACAGTTTGAACATTCGTTAGCCATTTGGCTGGTGGGCAGAAAAGTTAATTTTGCAACATGTGCACAAGATGATTAACCTGTTTGCACAAGATAATAATTAGTGGTGGTCCCCTCTTTTTGTTATAAGTTCAAGTTTTTGTAATTATATTTAACAGAGACATCCTTGACCTTTAATCCTTCAGCAGCTAAGTTAACTACATGATGCCTTAGCCTTAAATAAAGTCAACAAATTAGTAATAATACAAATAACAACAATAGTAAAACTATGATCCGGGTAAACAATAAATAAAAGGAAAATAACTAAAAGTCACAATAGTTTGTAATACAGTGATGTAGCCTACGTTTGTTTTTTTGCTTTTGTTAGTCTCAATCTATGCATGAGTTGAATTCTATCAAAAACACATATATATGTGAAATTTACTTGCTAAGAGTAACAACAAAACACACAAAGTTCATGTTATATTTAGATTTAGTTATAATGTCAGAATTCCCAGTTTTATTGAAAATATGTTTCTGTGTATTTGTAAAAAACGTACTTGATGAGGGACAATCGTAAAGTAAATGCTTAACTGATTCTGGCTGTGGTTCCTGTCTTTGCAGGTGTTGGACAATGATGGCAATAACGTCACTCCTCTGTCCCTGTATCACACAGAGCCAGGAGACAAGCAGCCCAAACCAGACACACTCTTTGTGGATGAATTTATTTCCAGCTCAGGACCAGACCACTCAAAATCCACTTCAAGTTTTAATGTACCCTTTTCCAGGTACCAGGTGGTAACTTTCATATAAAACTGTCTGATTTGAAGATCAAACAGCAGGCATGGATCTAATTTGAAAAATAATTTGTGGAGGGTGTGCAACCCATTTGTAGTGGCACAACTTGAATTCAGGAAAAATTGAGTAAAGCAACATTTTACTTGCCACCAGCTCTGTTAAGTATGACCAATCCAGTACTCAGTAGTCTCATGTACAAATTTATTGATAAAGGTGATAGTGATGATGGTGGGGGGAAAATAATTTCACCATGAAAAATTAATGATTTATACTTGTATGAATATACATATACATATATTTATGTATATGTGTATATATATATATATATATATATATATATATATGTGTGTGTGTGTTTTGCAGATGTTTTGCAGATGTTCTTTTAATGAATATGATGTGTGACTGTGTGTTACAGCCATAGACTGTATATAAAAAGGTTACAGCTCAATAATGACATTGTTTTGCAGTTCATTTATGGGTAGCAGCCGACCATCCAGCCTGTCTAAAGCTTCACTGACTTATAAGACTGAGGACAGTGTTCCTATCCTGGGCGTACCAATTAATTCTCCAGCTCCATATGGTTACTATTCTTTTTTATATATATTATCATTATGTTGATTATTATCACTGTTCCTCCAGGTGATAATCATATCGTGCATTGTTTAAAACGAGTCTTTAATATGTATAGTAATAATTCTTTGAAAATACAGTGTTACATTTTTATATGCAATAAAATATTGCCATATGCAGCAGAATACACTTTTATTACTATTATAATGAAATTACAGCAGCAGATATTCTTTTTTTAACTTTATACATGTATATTCAGTCTTTATAATTATTTTTTGTCTTTTGTTCCCTGCCAGAGGTGCAGAGGAAACGAGACAATGTGAAACAACATGTGACAGACGAGATGTTGGGTGAGGATGTGGACATCTTTCTTTCTGAGACAGATACCATTTCACTGCTGGACATACCCAGCACCTTTGTGTCAGAGGATGCTGATGATGCAGAAGCTATTAAGTGAGTAAAATCATCTATTTGTTTGTTTCCTAAAATATTAGACAAGATCTGATTTATAGGAAGTGGTATTATGTCTTTGACCGACTGTCACACACTGTACAGTACGTTTGAAGGTGCACGCTAGTTTATGTTCTGTGCAAACATGCTAGCCAGTGACATGGGGTACTCTTCTTCAGTTGCGACACGCTGTTGACATTTTCACCCTGTTCTTACAGAGAGAGAAACATTCACTATGCTGAGCTTTGCAAGAACACAATGGGCAACGATAAGTATGTGGTTCGATCAATGCAGACATTCAGTGGAGCACCTAAAAACAAACACGTCCAGAGTGACACGATTGTCATGGTGGATGAAGGTTAGGCTTAATTATACTCTGTTTTTGGTTATGTTTATTTATTAAGTAGTAGTAGACATGCCCAAATTCATCAATAGGAATTGTTAGTGGTGGTTTTAGTTCACTCAAACCTTAAGCTTATACCATAGTTCAAATGTTTTGTCTGACAATGAAACCCCATCAATAATTAAACACAGGTAAACTTGGCAGTAAGTCACCGGTCTGAATCATATCCAAATTTAAGTCTATAAGTTCAGGTCTGTTTTATTAAAAGAAGAAACATCTCAAAATTGAACTGATAATCAATTGTTATGAATTCATTTGATGTAGTTGGGTATCTAGATAGAAGCAGTGCTTTAGTGCAGGTCAGGTTAGTGTTCAGTTTTTCAAAAGTGGACAGTTATTTGAAACCTTCTCATGTCCACAGGCACGAGTGCTACTAGCTGGGACATCTATGACTCTTTCTGTAACAGAAATAAGACGCCTGAAAGTGAGAAAGCTGACTATGGAGAGAGGACTGTGAACACCAGTGAAACTCAGGAGAAGAGAAGGGAGATGAACGGCAGCAGCAGCAGCACAGGTTATAGCACCTGGGAGAACAGTTACTTAATGTTCAGTCCTTATTTAACAAACGTCTGTTCTCAAGACATTTAGTATTCAATCCCACACATATTAACAGATTTAATATTATTTTGCTGTTTTAACAGGCATCTTATCTTTTCGCATTCTTCATTTCCTCAGGCAGCACCATTAGCTCACTGTTAGAATTGGAAATGTGTGGAAGCAGTTTAAAAGCTGAGCCTGACCCACAACTGATCATGTCGTCAGAGTCATTCCAACATAGCTTATTAGTAATGGAGAGGAGCATCGTGGCACACATCTTTCAACCCAAGCTGGCTGCGTATAGACTGCTGCCCATAGAAGGTAAACTCAAGTTATCACTACTTCCTCACTTTGTTGCACCACCCTGTGGAACTTTTAGCCTTTCTGCATCTGCAGCAAACATTTTGGTCAGTTATAAAATATAACTGTATTTGAATACTGCATTCTGCTTACTACATACATAATGTTTATTGTGTAAGACCCTGACAGCACGATGAAGACTCGGACTGAGGGACAGAGTGAGGAGAGCTCTTTATCTCCAACTCTGGAGCATCTCTGGGCATTCAGTTGTGAGCTCACCAGAAGACGCAACATTACCAGCATGGCCTGGAACAAGGAGAACTTGGTAACACAGGCCAAACACCAAAACACCCAAACCGTCTGCTATTTTCTAAAAGCAGAACAAATTCTGCACACCAGCATTTTTTTGTTCAGTGTTGAAGCTGCCTGAACTGCTTCCACTCTTCAAGAGTGAAATCATGTTAATATATCTGCAGATTGCACTTTACCATACTTAAACAACTGTGCCTAGACTGTGTGAAGCATTTAATGGTAAGATTAAAAGCAAATGAATGATTAACAAAATAGCTAAATAACAGGAGTTGCCCTTTGTACCACTTAGAATTAAAATGGGCAAAATTTTCTTTTTTATGGTTCTATGATTACTACTCTTTGTTTAAAAAGTTGAATGAATGCTCCATGTACAGGTCTGATGTGCTCTGTACCCTCTGTAAGGATCTCCTGGCAGTGGGCTATGGTAACTTTGACTCCAGCAACCAGAAACCTGGTTTGATCTGCTGCTGGTCCCTCAAAAACCCTACGGTATTTATATACATTTTTAAATAAATTTTTACCCTTGTTTCCTTTCAGCCATCATCTTCCAGTGGTAATAGGAAATACCTGAAATGTTTTTGTTGTGTGTTTCTTAAATAAATGTTTAATTCATGGGGTGGCTGTGGCTCAGGAGGTAGAGCATCTGGTCCACTAATCGCAAGGTTGGCAGGTGGCTCATCCTGTCCACATGTCAAAGTGTCATGTGAAATCGTTAAGTGCTATAATGTAGTCAATTTATCAGTTAAGTTCTTTTGGGAGCAACAGTGATTCTCAATGTGTCCCCCTGAGCAGAGGCCGGAGCGTGTCTACCACTGTCATAGCTGTGTGACAGCCCTGGATTTCTCAGCCAGCAACCCCGGCCAGCTGGCTGTGGGAATGTACGATGGCACAATAGCTATCTACAATGTCCAGAGTCAAAGCAACAAGGCATGTATTGCAAACAGCAGGTGAGGACTACGTGCGCGCGCGTGTGTGTGTGTAGACAGTTAACATGGAAATAAACTCCGACATCACACGTTGAAGAAAGAAAAAGAAATTACTAGACCAAACCCCTTTTCTGTTTCTTAATATTTTTGTTTTGTAGTTCGTGTCCCAAAAAGCATGTGCATCCAGTGTGGCAGGTGAACTGGATTTCACAAGAGATGAGATTATCAGAGGATGACAGGGCAGAAGCTCTCGTCTCTGTGTCAGCAGATGGCAGGATTACCAAGTGGCTCCTCTGCAGCAATGGTCTTGACTGCATAGGTAGTGTAGTCTGCAACAGGTTATGCTTTTAACAGAGTAATTACAGTTTAACACATATGATGATAAAATCCAATCCAATTAACCAATAATAGTAATTAAAGTTTAACCACAAGTGTTTGATGAATATCTGTTAATTATAAGTCTTAAGCATTACAAACAATATTATACTGAACACTAACTTCATTAAATAAAATTGAAATTTTAACCATTAACACCATAATAGTGTAAATAAAACACACAACACAAACCACATTGTCACGTCTAATACTAAGTAGACACCTTTATACAGTAACTAAGCACACAGCGCCATTAAACATCATCAACTGTACACCGCTTTAATTAAACAATTTATCATTAGCATTTCTACTTCGTGCAAATCAATACTGAAATCAAATAAATACTCTTAAACAAGGGAAATCACACACCAATAGTGTCTTTGAGGACTCCAGCGCACTGATGCACACACCCTCGGCAGTTTAGTTTACTTTTTTCCCCCTCATTTGTTTGCCGGCTTTAAACTAATTCACCTTAAGTTGGCGTCTTTTTCAACCTGGATGCAGCGGAGGCAATTCCATGAACTTTCACCTCACATAAACTCCTCAGCTTCAGACTGCCCTCTTGGGTGACCTTTCATAAATAACGCTATTGGTATTGACATTTGTCTTAACAATTTATAGTCCCAATACCATTTAGAATATTGTTTTAATAATTTAGTAGCAAAGCAAGCTCAGATGAGCTTTGAGTTTACAACACAGGAAAACAACAAACTCAATTATATCACTAGACCTGACTTTATAGCATAACCTGTCCAATGAATTTAAAAAAATATATATGTTGATTTATTATTTTTTACAAACTTTACTGTCTTGTAACAGTTAAAATACAGAAGATTTGCTGTTAATCATTATGTGAATCATTTAGAGGTTAAACCTGTATAGCATTGCTCTAACACAATAATCATAAAAGCTTTATGTTTTCTAAAAATGTGTGTCCTTAGACCTGATGAAGCTAAAGAATCAAAATAGTAAGAAGAATGCTGCTAGAATCAAGAAAAAGACAGACAGTGTTCTGCCAGCAATGACTCCCAGTGTCTGTGTTGACTTCCATCCAACAGTGAGTTGGTCACAGAAATATTAGACTAGTCTTCAGGATAAAAAGCGTATATATCTATGGATAAAAAATGTTTCACCTTTGTGTGAAGCTGTTATTTCATCCTGGCAGTCTGTATTGATAAGGACAATTTAAATATTTGCCAGGTTGTGTGTTTCTCTCTCTGTGTATCTCTTCCAAATATATCACATATTTCTCCTGTTTTTGCTCTTGTCCTGCAGGACTCCAGTATCTATCTTGCTGGCACATGGGAGGGCCCCATACACAAGTGCTCCTTCTCCAACAGTGAGCATTTTCTGGACACTTACCAAAAACACTTTGTAAGTCCTTCTGGTTAAAACCTTTGATTCAGTGATATTTGAAATGTGAAAATGCACACATAGTAAATGACAGAATATTCCAATACCTCGCTATGATAAAAGTAGTATTAAACATTGTGTGTATAACACATGAGACTACCCTCTTAACAAGGGCATTTACATTCTGAGCACTGAATAACATGTTATAATAACACAATACCTTGTGTTGACTAGTGATGCAGCTATCCGTTACTACAATTTGATTTGTTACTGTAAATGAAAACATTTTTTAAATATAGATCTTGCTCTCTCTTAGTGCCCTGTGAACCACGTCGAATGGTCTCCATTTTGTTCTGATGTGTTCCTGAGCTGCTCCTCTGACTGGACCATCCAGCTGTGGAAGCAGGATCGCTTTACACCTGTGCTGAGCTTCACATCCACCCAGAGGACTGTGTACACCGCTAGGTGGTCACCAAACTGGTCCACAATATTTGCAGCCATTAATGGACGACAGGTGGACATCTGGGACCTGAATTCAAACATGTGAGTCAGACTGACAGAGAACCTGTATGTCTCCAGCTCTGTCTCGTTTACCTTCATTCAATGTTTTTATCTGATTTGAAAAATGAGCCAGAAATAATCTATTGTTCAATAAATACAAACCTGTCCTTTTAGCCTGAACCCAACCATCATGCACCATGCTGCACCCGGTGTGAAGGTGACATCTCTGCTGTTTGCAAGAGGGACAGACTGTGTCTTGGTAGGGGACAGTAATGGACAAGTGACTGTCTACCAGCTGAAGAACCTCAGTGTGGGAGAAGGCAAGCAGGTAAAACTGAAGTGGCCTATGTGATATTCTACATGAAACCTACTACAAACACTTAAAAACACATAAGCACATGCATATTGATTTACTTCATTTGTTTTAATTATTATTCCTCATTGGGTTTTTTTATATTGATGAAGTTTGCTGAGTATACATCTCTTTTACAGGGAAGCAGTAGTAGCAGTAGGGAAGTAGATACAGGCAGAATATTAGACAATTATTGAGAATGGTCTTGATGTTACAGAGAGTAGTAGTGTACTTTTGTGAAAGCAGTCTTCATAGATCAGCTCCGTTACAGGGTTTGAGAAGCATCTGCCAGTCATTGGAACAAAGATCCAGAGAAGCTAAGATGAGATTCAAGAATTTTAGAAAAATGTATGTGTGAGCAGAGTACAAGAAAACAAGCCAGTGTAGGGTAAAACATTCAGTACACTGTGCCCAGGGCAAACTGTCTTTTTCTTTCTTTCAGGTGGACAGTTTGGAAGACATCATTAACTCTGCAGTCTCCAGGTAGCTGTAGACTTGAACTTTCTGCAATGTAAAAGTATAAATTCATTGGCCATTTAAAAAAAAAGATCTGACAGCATACTTGTAATACTACCAAGGTGGGCTTTTTGTTGGAGAACCACTTTAGGTTTGAGTTATTGTGGTTAATTCTCTTAAGTTCATTATTGCCATCTATTGGAAACTTTGGACATTGAAGTAAAGTCTAGAAAATTATCTAGAAAGGTATGAATTAAATATTTCATTCAATGTTTCATACAGTGTAGTCCATGTCTTTATTAACAAAACAACAGAACAGATAGAAACAGATGAACAAAGGCAAGGGATAAAAAAAAAGAATTACAATAAAAGCTGGTGGAAAATAACTACAAAACCAAGGATACGACAGTCACAACGTGAATTTTACTGTACTTCAACAGGTGTAGAAAGATCTAGATTCTCCTCAAATTTCATTTCAAATTAAATCATAAGGAATTGAATTAATATGAACAGTTATGTTCTTGAGGGACACAGACGATTAATATATGTGGACAGTCTTCAAATGCATTGTGGGATTCAAAAGGTACATTCAGATCAACAGCCAATATATTTTTTGTTTTCTTTGTCTTCAGATCTTAAGACTTGATGACAAATTGGGATGACAAAATAGTGTACTTTATTTTCAAGTAGGTAGTAGTAGGGAGTACTACTGACTGTTCACATTTATGAATGTTTAAACAACAGAGATTTAAACTGAGCACTGTTTTCATGCTCATGATCAGTGAGAGTTGTGTGCGTCAAATACTTTACCTTTCTGTTTGAAGCCACTGCCAGACTGGTTGGACTGTTTTCTAAAATCTCCAATATCTGTGATTTTTTTATTCAGTTTTATCAATTTTAAAATTATTTATCAATCACATTTTCAAACATTATCTAAACATATTTTAATCAGTTCAACGAAGACCTTAATAAAGATTCATATTATTAAATCATTTTTAACACACAGGTCTTATCTGAAAGCAGAGTTTAAGCTTTAACAATGCAAAAACCCAACAGTATGGACATAAACATGTAATGAAATATGATCAAGCAGAAATATGTTAGAACAAATTGGGATACTAGAATTCAATAAGATTTTAACAAAAGACACAAGAAACAACACAAGCTTAAACATATTTAAGTGATTATCTGAATAAATCCATATTAAACATTGATTTTATGCCACATACAGTTAAGGAATCATTTTTCTATTATGTATTATATTGTAGGTATTTTGTTGGTGTGTATGAGGAGTTGTGCATGTGGATAGACTTCTGAATGTTTGCAGCAGTGAAATCACAGTTGAACTGTGTGCAGAATTCAAGAATGCGTCAACTAACACAGTTATTCTGGATGACAGTGCTTTCTTTCATTGAGATACTGGCTCGGACAAATTGCATCACGCTCCCCAGACCAGCTGGTATGTCTATAAATGACAAACTCCTGTGTGTGAAGTTGAAGACTTGCCTTCAGATTCCACTGAAAAGAGTTTCAGATGATGAATTCTAATGAACCCATAAACTGTGTGCAATTGTTAAACTTGATTCCTTCTCATGTACATGTCCCTGTTTTCCACACTGATGCATCTCGTTCCTAAGATTCTGTTACAGTTTCAGTTCAGCCCAAAAAATATTGTGAAAAAAGAGAACTGCAGCCACGGTTTTCATTTTAATAAAGAGGTTTAAGTTATTGCATTTCCCCAAATTACTAAAAATCGTAACAATTAACAACATCTAGATTAAAAGGTTTGATGGAATTATAATTTATATTCAAGGGCATTGGCTTCAAACTTGGGGATTGTTGCCCCAACTGGCTCTCACAGGATACATTTTAGAGGTTGCAAGATGATTTACAAGCAAGAACATACTTCTTCAGACTTTCTTTCTCTCCAATCACTGTATAAATGAATCTCGTCTGTACTGGAAATGGTCACAGTCAGTGACGAGTAAGTACCCACTGCTTTATTTTAAGGGGCCATTAGCATAAAAGGTTCAGAACCAAGTCTGCGATGTTACTGTACAGGTCATATTCTTAACCCGATAAATGCAAGTTTATCCAAACCCAGCACCTGTTAAGTAGTTCAATTTAAATAAGTTGACGGACATGCAAGACCTTCGTCCACATTGTAAATACAGCAGACTGGATGCACATCTTGGGCAGACAGGTTGAATTACAATAAGGTTTACTGGTTTGGCATCAGGTTAAACAAAGCAAAGAAGCAATGCAGGGAGGCAAAGGGTCCAAAAAGGCAAGCAAATGATTACATAACAGACAGGCAGGATAACAGGAAAGCTGGCCACAAATGCAGAAATCACGCTAAAAATCTGGCAAGCAGCTGAGAGAGAAAGTGGCTTGTACATATTTGGAGGAGCTGATTAGGGAGCAGGTGTGAGAGCAATAAAGCAATAGTTTGACATATTGATGAACAGAAATGGGGAAACAGCTAGCCTGATTTGGTCCAAAGGTGAAAAAAACCTGCCTACCAGCACCTCTAAAGCTCACTGATAAACATGTGGTTTAATCATTCTTTATGCTAACCTAAGCTAACCACCTCATGGTTGTAGCTTCATAGACGGAGACGAGAGTTGTATCAATCTTCTCATTTCTCTGCAAGACAGCAAATGCGTGCATTTCCCAAAATGTCGGACTATTCTTTTAACAAGATGATCTATTTTCTAACCTAACTAAATCTGGCAGCAAAAACCAACATTCAAAATGGATCCATTTATAGTCATGGCTTACAATACTAAAACAACACATAATAGTGAAATACTATTATACTGCCTGGTCTTTTAGCCAAGAAATTCACAGACTTGCAGATAATGTAGATCAGAAGAATTACACGCCTTTTATGGTGAGTGAAATCCTTGTGGTCCTATAAAACTCCTTTGAACTCTTATTGAATCCACTGAAATATACTGTAAGACAAAACTAATAACAAGGCAACATAAAGATATATATATTTTTAATGAGACCAGTGTCCATGAAAAGAAAGTTTTGTTGTAGGAGGTGGTAAATATTTAATTATAATGTTCAAAGGTTATGTTCAAGATAGAAACTAGGGAAGACTTGAGTTGTGCTATGTTACAGCTACAAAACCAAGACACTACCTTTTTGTTGATGTGTATGGCCTGTATCTGCTGACAGTGTGAATTTGGACACAATGAGTGTTCACCAGCAGGGTAAGGATTCACATGAGCCGTAGTAAAACAACGGTGATGACGCAACATGCAGTACAAGTAAATATATTCCTACCCCGCCGTGATCTGTGACTCTTCAAGGTCACGTATCCTCACACAGAACTGCTTAAGTAAGCTCCCCTGCCTGCTTGAATTAAAACACAGTGTGCAAAAACGGGGATGGGAAGATATACATCCCATGATGACGGGTCACAGGCAGAGCATGTGATTCTGGTTAAGATGAACACATGGAAAAGCAGTGTGTCGTATTTAAATAGTGAAATGTTGGTTTGAGTTTTGAGCAGTGGGCCTGGGAGGATGTGAGTAGACTGTGTTCTTATGTGGTCTGGGTTTACATCCTTTTTTATATCCAATGAACTCTTTTTGTTTTACTTTGTGTTTCAGGCACAGTGGGAAGTGAACCTGGATTTGAAAGTGATGTCTTTGTTAGTTTTAAACTCAATGGCCTTGAGTTTATTCACCTTTTTACTCAGAAAATACAGTTTACCCACCTCTGATAGGCTGTTATAGATATACAGTATATTAATGAATGAAAGAGTTTTTGTAAGTTGTCTTTCTCAGAGCACCTTAGGCCGAAAGGACTTACAAACGCTCTTACATTCCCACTGCAATATCCATTTTAAACAAGGCTAAAATAGACTGTCACTACCTTTTAATGCAGCTTTGCATACCTGCTCTTTCATTTTTATGGGTGTATGTTGTAATGTGGTTGTGAGCCCCTAAGACAATTTTCTTTCCTGTGTGACCTGTGAAGATGGTACGTACATGTCAGTGTCAAATAAAGGTGCTAGCAATCTAAAGCTCACATGTAGGTCCTATTAAAGTTAAATAACATAGCCAAGTTGCATGGTTACCCCCACCCACCACACACACATTGCCATGTGCCACCAATTATTCACCACAGCTACAAGTCTGCCTCCTGCCCCCACTGTCCTCTTATTTGAAAACCAACATATGGTCACCCTAAATGAGGGGTACTCGCTATTTGTAAAAAAATAAATAAATAAATACTGGCTATTGCCCTGTACATGTGATGTAGATGCCAACCAGAAACACAGTGATATTAAACTTTGTTTGCCAACATGCTCCCCGCCCACTAAACGTCAGCCAACAAACTCCAACCCTGTGCTCTTGTGTCGTTAATGTGCACCAAACTCATTATATTTCCAACAGAAGCAGCAGCACCCACCGACTGGACTTTTAATCCTAAATCTCGGACTGCATCTTTAATGCCCCTGGATGCGCCTGGCGGCTGTGTTTGTCCAGTTGGTGTGTAGGTGGAGCACAGAAGGAAACCGAGCCGCAGCTCACACGGACACGCGCTTTTCCTGTTCCTGGACGCGGGGGGAACCGGGTGAAGTTACCTATCACTTCCTAATCAGTTTGGGAAAGTTAATCGTAGACAGTCGATACAGTCCGATGGTGTGTAGGAAGATTTCCCGATGATTGAAGTGTCCATACCTTCGATGGAGAGGGAGGTGGATGATTCTGGAAAGTCAAAAAAGGTGCGTATAGCTTTTTGATGTACTAATTTTCTTCTCGCAGCTTAAAAACACTCAAACTTTTTTTGCTGTGTCATTAAACCGTGACTTTATACAGTGGTTTGGTATTGTAAAGGTGAACTGCCACGTGAGCCAGGTAACCTGCAGGAAGAGTGAAGGTAAGCTCAGCCCTTTTCCTGATTTCTATACAGAGGTGTAGGGAATCTGTGGAATCATTTGAATTTGGCTGAAGTAAAAGTAGGCTAACACTGGTGGAGCCAGTGTAAATTAAATTCAATGCTTCTGCAAATATCAGAAGAAGAAGTCCCCATGCAAAATATCACTGTTGAACACAGTAGTACTTAAGTGTTGCAGTTAGTCTAAGTAGAACTCATTTTAACTAAATCATTTTGGGTTGTTAAATCTTTAACAATTCAAAGACAATTTTCTTACATCCTCGTGTTTTGAGTTTAAAACCTATAACTACTAACTTTAGCTGTCAAAGGTATTGGAGTAAAAGTAGGTTACAATATTTTCCTCTGAAATGTAGTGAAGTAGAAGTACTTAGAAACTAAATTTAAGTACATTACTTTCTACCACTGTGTTTGCTCTTTACTTGCATGACCTGAGTTACACTCACAAAGCTCCAGGCATGCGTTTCAGCAGGAGGAGGAAACCATGTATTCCATGGAAGTCTTAACCTATGGTGCAAGAAGTATTGTGTTACTTAAGTGAAAGTAACAGTTAATCAATTACATGTAAAAGTCCTGCATTTAAAGTCTTAAACAGTTGAATGTACAGAAGTACTATCAGCAAAATGTACTTAAAGGAGTGTTTGTTATGCGGGCAAACAGCCCCTGTGCTTGTTATTGATATTATTTTATTGAATTATTATTATTGATACATTAATGTGGAAGCTGCATTTTGCTGTTGTAGCTGGTCAGCTAGATCTATTTTTAGCTATCATATGTTGGTCGGTTTAATTTGTGACAGTGCATCATATTTTCTAAACTGATCACAGGTATGTATCTTCTTAATCTGAAAATGACCTAAAGCTGTCAGACTAAAGTAGTGGAGTAAAAAGTACAATATTTTGCTCTGAAATGTAGCAGAGTAGAAGTAGAATAACGTAGCATTTAAGAGTAGCTTAACATTATACTTCAGTACAGTACTTGAGTAAATGTACTTAAATACAAGTTCAAGGTACTTGTATTGGACTTCCATTTCCATTTCATGCAACTTTATACTTCTACTCTACTACATCTCGGAGGCAAATTATACTTTACTTTACTTTACTACATTTATCTAACAGCTTTAGTGAGGTGATGAAAGTAAAACAGGCAACCGGATGAGTACTTTTACTTTGTATACTTAAGTAGGGTTTTAAATGAAGTACTTGTACTTCAGCAAATGATCTGAATAATTCTCCTACCACTGGTCGTAACCTGAATGAACTATTTTCATGTTGGAGGTCTGACTAATTCATACTTCTGCTGACCAGTTTAAATAAACAGTGAACCAAAGTACTACTTTTGTCAGGTTAAAACTGTACTTAAGCAAAAGTACTGAAGTATTTAAGGAAATAATACATATATATATATATTTGGTGTGACATTTTGTCTGAGAGTGTTTTCTGAGTCAGAAGTATATTATTTTGTTCCTTTTTCAAACACTAGTGCAGAAAGCTCATGCCCTCTGATTTTAAAAAATAAATAAATAAATAAAGTATAATTTGCCTACATTGGCAACCACAGACTTTGGTGTATCATGTGTAAAGTCTTATTATGGCAAGGAAAAGGGTCAAATGAATGTATGTTGTGTCTCAACTCTGATAATGTGTTGCTAAAGTTTTATGCGATACTTGTTTGTTGGCATGATAAACTGTGTTAAATGCAGGGGGCTGAAGTGTAACTTAGTGTTGAACAGACTTCCAGAGAACAGTCACCTAGTAATGAATTTGTAATAAATCGTATTCACACTACATTTTAAAATGGTAAAAAAATTTATACCATCCTTGGGAATTTGCTCCAGCTGACCCACAAAGAAGATGACAGGCTGCAGTGTGCTGAGCTGAACTCTGTTTGGTTTTTATCATCTCAGTCTGAGGCCACAAGATGTTGTACTCATGTTACTGTTACTGACTGATGAAGTGTTGAAAGCTGTAACTATGTGAGGAGGACATCCTGCAGTTTGTTCTGTATAAACCCTCAAGTATTCAGTTTCTCCCCTGCAGCACAATGCTCGTTTCATTTGCACCTTTTAGTTTTTATTCCTGATTACACGGCAGTCGTCTGAAGTGGTTTCGAGTTTTGATCAGGCGGCGAAATCTGTTGCCTCAACCTTATAGTTTACAGGCAAAGCATTTACTAGTTTTTTAAAACTAGTTTTTTAACGAAGATCAGTTAGTTTAAAATCCAAGACATTATAAACGTTTATAAAGCAGTGATTTGTTTACAGTAACTACAGTAAACCAAGACATTATACTGTAGATTCCATGCTTGTTAACTACATGAGAAATCAGATATAATCATATAAGCCCACAGACGCGATAAATCGTAGTGTACATCATAGCATACATAGGCCTGTAGAGATGTATTGAAGACAAAAGTGACAAAACATCACAGGAACGTAAAAAAAAAGTGAATGTGTCATTCATGTGTGTAGCTGTAACAAACAGATCATCACCATGCTCTTCTATTTACACTTATTTCTTGAGAATGAAATCTGAAGCTCTGTGCCTCCTCCTGGTGGAGAAATAATGTTGTCGTATCAAGTTGCAAACCTCTGAGGAATCACACAGAGTTTAAAATGGGTCCCAAAATTGCAAAAAATAATCACCTCAAGGCATGTTTTGTTTTTGCTTTTGATTAAACAAAAATATATTGGGTTTATTTTCATCATCACTTTGAAAGGCATGACACACCTCTGGTCATTTTAAGATTGTGAATAAATCCCCTGCGTGTTGTCTTCTGTTTGCAGCTTTTCAGAGTTGAAGTCTTGTTTAACGGGAGGAAACATTTTGTGCTCAGAAGAAGCAGCGAATTCCAGACTCTCCACAGAAAAGTATGTATATGAAACCCACTTTACAGCCATGGTCACAATTAATACAGTGTTACTGAGTGGCTGTGTACTGCATGTATCAGCACATGAACTAGATTCAGTAATGATTGGAATTCACAATAACCACAATGTTTTGGGAAGTTTGAAAATTCTAGTTATTTTGTTGGAATAATTGTAGAGAGGATGTTATAATATGGAGAATTGGCCAACAAGGTGACAAAGTATTATGGCTTTAAAAATGCAGCCCAAATGTCTCAAACCAAAATGTATTGTGTACTCTTCATGCATTTCCTTCCTCTTAAAACATCTGGTTCAAGGTTCAGCTTTATTGTCCTATAGTTCAGTATTGCACAATGTAATGCAGTTGTATCCCTTTCCAAGCTATATACTATACATTTAAAAAACAAGTAGTCAAATATATTAAATAAAAATAGTAATAATAAAACAATAAATTAGAACAACGAATATAGCTCTAGAAGCACTAAAGGAAGAAGTAAAAAAAGGAAAACTAAATATATTTGATATAGCCACAAGTGACGATTTGCGGGTTCAGAACTCTTGTTTTTTTGCAATAGCGATTTCAAAATAACTTTACAGACGTGGTTCCACATTGTAATGAAACTTATCTTGTGAGTTTTGTTATGATTGGACAAACTGTTTCTGATTTGAGTCATGCAGTGCCCATTTTGTTGTGACTTTAATGGGCACTAGGAAACGTTTAAAAAGTCTGACAGCAGCCACTCTAATCATAAAAGTAAATTTTTAAAGAAAACACTCATACATCAGTAAAACACAAAATAAAGAAACCAGTGTAGGGGAGAGATTTTACCCACGACATTAAAGTTTATAACAATGGATGGATCCAGACGCTTCATAGAGGAGTTGGCTTCTGTCTGTCTGTTAACAGACCGGAGTTCCGACTTCAATGATAAACCACAGAGCTGCAGAGTAACATTAGGCTTCATGATCAGAGATGTTTTTTTTAATCACGTTCACACTTCTGTCCACATCCCCCTCTCTGCTGTGAGTCTGCCATTCAATCAATTGAAGTTTTTATTCATCTGCTATTATAATAGCAAGGTGTAAGCACACCTGGCTTTTAAAGGGACAGTCTGATTGGTGTATGGCATGTTATTCCCAAAACACACCCATGACTAATTCACAGTACAACCGTTTTGAACCACGCACCTGGCGCACTGAACATTTTTTCCACTGTCAAACAAGAAAAATTGTAGTTGGACACACCCCACGCACTTCACGCCAATCGTTAAAACAGGGCCCGGAGATTGGCGGGGTTTATGACCTATTCTGCAGCCAGCCACCTGAGGGCAATCAAGATGTTTGGGGAGCTGTCAAATTGTCATTCTTTTTACAGTCTATGTGTGAAACCAACACAGCAAGAGGGGTATCTTTTCAGTTTGGGCCATTTTATGTTTTGTGTGCCATTATGGCCGGTTCATTACTTTTGATTTAATTTTGTATCTTGTGGCACATGCAGCTCAGGAAGATCATCCACCCTCCAGATTTTCCCAGCAAAAGACAGACCCATCTGAGGACCAAACCTCTGGAGCAGAGGAGGCAGGAGCTGGAAGTCTACATGCAGGTAACACATCCAGTTGTTCACCCGTCAAGGTGGGAACGAATCAGCCGTTGTCTGTCAACCCGATATCCCTTAGCAGTTAGCATCTGTCTTGCTGAAGTGCCCTTGTGCAAGACAGGAATTTCTTAATTTTCAAAGGAGTGATTTTTGTCTTGCTGATGAGCATTCTGCAGAATGTTTTGGGGGAATTTTTCATTTCTGCATCAATTTATAGTGGAAATGACTTTATTTATATAAAGAGAAACACAAAATTCAGGCTGCAGGTGACAATTTCAATATAAAAATGTAATAAATATAATGCAGTAAGGCTCTCAGGCATTCTGTATTGCTTTTACATATGAATATGAAAAACTTAGAACAACTTTCTCATTTAGTATCATCCAAGTCTGCACACATGCAGACACGATTTAGTTTTTCATCCTGTTTTGTGTCTTTTGTTTGGGGAAGTAACCTCTTGAAATGTGCATGTGGCACTTTTTCACGTCAATGATAAATTAATTCATTTATAAACTCACTGAATAGCTCCTTGGGCGGCATGATGGTCCGGTGGAGAGCACTGTGGCCTCACAGCAAGAAGTTTGTGGGTTCAAACCCCAGTTCCCCCAGCCTATCTGTGTGGAGTTTGCATGTTCTCCCCGTCTCTGCTTGTCTCCCACCGTCCAAAGACATGCAGGCCCTAAATTGTCCTTAGATGTGATGCCTTTCGCCCAATGTCAGCTGGGACTGGCTCCAGCCCCCGCAACCCTGTACGCAGGATAAGCAGTTGAATGAATAGCTCCTTCAGGTTTTCTGCACATTCAAAATCTATCTCTATGTTCTCTGACATTTCAAGAATAAAGTTGTAATTTAATGAGAATAAAGTTATAATACTTTTAAACAATCTACCTGCAAATATCCGCTGTGCATTAGCCTACATTATTGCTCTACTGATATGGTAGTATCCCCTTCAGATCGTCTGACAGACACAGAACCCCGTTTGGGACTGTATACTGAATGAGACAAATGCATTGCACTTCACCATAACTAACTGAAAACACTTCTGATCAGGCATAAATCTCACCTCGAATCCTCACAACCTTTGACTTCACCATCTCCGATAAAGTGAAACTCACAGCCGCTTCAGTGTGAAACATCGTGGAGCACTGAGACAGTCCAAAACAGAGCTAAACAGATCTGTCCACGCGCCGACTACACTACCAGAGCACCAACCAATCAATTGTGCATGTGTGGGTGGAGTCCACCAAGCTCAATCCAGAAAGTAGTATAAGCAGAAGTAGTCCGCGTCTGTGGTGTCCGCAGCTGTCTGTGTGCGCGTCCGCTCTGAAGTATATTCGAGGCTTAAGTGATTGCGATGCAGAGACAGCAGCAACACTGAGCTACTTGTCAGAGAAAAGACTTCTGCAGTCCAAACTTTTTATAAATGTAATGTAAATATATACATTGACTAGACACTGACCGGTGAACAAGGAGTGATGTAATAAAAAAACATGGATGACTTTTTATAAAACTTGAGACTGAAGGAAGGGTATGTTTTCTGCAATGACAGAACCGGAGACTTCACATGGAGCTCAAAATGTAGGATGCGATCAAATGTAATCCCGCAATTTGGAAAGTACCATGGAGGTCAAAGATCATATCAAAATCAAAAGTCTGCTAACCATTCTGTAAAGCAACTACTAAATATCTGAATCTGCCACATTATCACAGATGTACAGTATATTTGTTTTGTGTTTTGCCCCTTGCTTGACAGTAATATTTCATTTTATAAGCAAGATTGTTCTGTGTTGGCCAGGACATCATCTATCAAAATGAAGACGTGCCGCAGGTGCTGCTGGACTTCCTCCATGTTAAACACTTTCACACGGGGAACAAGATCAGCAGCATGGAGTAAGTCCTTCAGCCCAGACTCCTGTGACTGCACCCAGAGATGTTGGACATGTTGCTATATTTAGCTCCTCTACTTTTGGATAAGGGGCAATGCAGCAACACAATAAAAAAGCAGCACTGACTAACCCTCAAAACAGCAATATAGGATCAAGGAAGGAGAAATGTACAGATACATGACCTAACAGTACACCTGGAAGTGATCTTTCTTTTCTTTCAGTGTTGCAGGTTTAAATCTTTAGTTCAGTCCAGGCTGCTCTTTGTTTTTGTCTGTAGAGTAGTGCAGTAGTGTACAGTATGTGGGTGAGTTATATATCCTTTTTATTAAAAAAAAAACAATTTAGCTATAGACAAAAGGAAGTTACTTTCTGTATCACAGAGTAGTCTTTAGAGTTATTTGACAGTGTTCTCGCAGGAAGTCTGTAATACTTATGTGTGATAATTTCAGATCACTTGATGAATTGGACAGTCAGGATTACAGGTAAGATATTAAATAGTATTTCCCATTTATCTATACTTGTGCCATACTGCATAAGTACTGTATCTACTAGAAGGGATGTAGCTGCTGTATGAAAACTGAGTCCTGTGCACAGGAGATTACTGCAGCACCATTATTTCAGTGATGACAGATGCATTATAAGGACTATAATATAACGCTTGCTATATTTTAACTTTAAGAAAGTTTTATTTCTTTGCAGTCCTGCAGGTTTCTTGTAAACCCTGTTTTAAAACCCTAGAGGTATGAACGAAAAACTATAATAAAATCACTGCAAAGAGCAACACATGCATCAAACCTGCATTTTTTTAATGTAAGCTGACACTAAAGCCTTGTCTTGACGTCACTCCCTAAATCAACACATCCAGGCTGCCATACTTCTAGACTTCTGTCTGTATCTCTCATGTAAGGGAGCTTGAAGGGAGCTGGATCTTATAGCTCCATTATTCCCTTCCGAGAGTCTGCCTAAGTTACTTTCTTACTTCCTTACTTTCTTATATTTTTGCAAAAATAAATATTCAAGATTCTTCAGCTGCAATACATAAAAAAGATTTTGTCATATTGATGGTTAAAAAGTAGAATAACTATCCTAGTGTTATAACAAAAATAACCCCCTACTGATGAATTAATATGGTTAATAAATAATGACACAACTCTATACAGACATACAGTATATTTCAGTTAAATTGGTATGATATAATGTGAAACCAAAACAATTTCAGCTCTGTCCAAATGTGTAATTTGTTCATTGTCATGCATTTCCTTTTCCGTGAGGAGGTGACTCGTTCCCAACCAACACATAGATACCCCATATCACGCCAGTGACATATATAAACTAAACTATAAAGTGCACATAGCTGAATGATCACCTTTTAACATTTTGTTTCCTCAGTTATCAGCTGTCACATCAGCGAGTGTTGGGATTTTTTCAGGATCCTTATCTCTCTGACTGCACATCAGGTAGGAAAGAACAGACTACTTCAACACAGAAACGGCTATTGACTGTACTTTTGTGTGCCTTTTGTTGTTTGGTTCTGTCATTTTGAATATAAAATAAAAACATTTAAAAGCATGACAACCTTGGTGACACAGTATAAAACCAGAGCTCTGTCTTGCAGGTCTTCCAGATGTTGTTGTGGATGGAGTTCTTCAGGGTTTTTACCCCAGGGACGTCCGGGTCAGCTTCACCGACCCTACTCTCACCGAGCCCAACCTCACCGTTTCTATAGAAAGCCTGAAATTATAGTTTGTAAGATTTTATGTTTTAAAGTAGAATATACATTGAAATACACAATGACAGCAATAAAGGAAACGAAAGCATAAACCTGCATGATGCAGAAGAAAAACAGCCTTAAATAGGTCACATGGAGGTGCTTTTGTCCAAAGTCAGCAGCCCCGGTGGGATTTAAACCCAAAACCCAGGCATTGTCATTCTGATACTCCTCCTGCTGTGTTAAACATACAGCCCTTTTAAAATCGAAAAGTCATCTTGAAACTAGTTTTGTGTTTTTAGTCATGAAGATGAGTGTTAATTTAAGGAGCATACAATATTTGGCCACAGGCAAACATGTATTTTATTCATTTTAGTGATACTGTAGCTCAGTTAAATTTTAGAAATGATAATGTGGAAAATGACTTGAAACTTGACTTGGGTTTAGTTTTTTAAAGATATTCTTATATTGTTTCACATACTAGAGAATTCAGCCAAAACATTATTGAAGTGACAGTTTCTTACATACATTGATAGTAATTCGTGTTGTCGAATACAATCAGCCCCCAGCAAAGTACTGCTGTGAAGGCTATTGTACGTATTGAAGCAATTTTTAAGAGTAATCATGGTTTTGTAGTTGGCATAAATGTTCTTATATATCACTGTTAAATATTGAAAGTATAATAAAGGATCGGACATGACTCATCCTGTGCATTTTCTCTATTTAAACCTGAGCCGTAGAACAAGATGATCAACACTCTTCTGTTGAAGAAACTAGAGGCACGAGACATTGTTTGGACACAAGCAAAACATATGTATACTTAGTTCTATCTTATCTTATTTACACTCACAACAAAGTTCCTTTGGTGCTTGAGGAGATATGATGACTGGTGTAACAAGCATTGGAAAGTGTGAAAGTGTTTCAAGTTGGCTATTTCAGACCTTATTAACCAATAATTAAAAATAAAAATAAATTCACTGTAGCCTGTGATATAATTTAGACTGCTTGGTCAACTTTTTCTAATAGTATTTTATATATATATATAATATAAAATGTATTTTAAGTGCCTGACAACTAGGTTTTAAATTTGGATTTACAGTATTTGTATATCGAATTTATGACTCAGTGAGCAAGAATCAAAATTTAAGTTTGGAAAAAATGTCCTTATTGATTATTTATTAAGTTTGAAAGTCAAACACTCTAGCTAGTCTGCTTCATCAGGGAAACAAAAAAAGTAACCAATTCTGGGGTTTTATTACAAAACCTCATTGCAATTTACTTTATATTTCTCCTATATTTCCATCCATTAAGTCCTTGTGATGGATGAGTGATCAGGAAAAACTCCTTAAGAATATCTGGTTAATGTTTAGCTTCCCTGGGACTTGTTTTTTTTTTACTCACCTCTGCCCCAAGCATAATACCTTACAAGCCACAACAAGCAGCTCAGATCTTCTTGCCTGAAGGAGAAAAAGACAACAATAAAAGAGTCTGAGTCTTTTATTATGTTATTTGGTTGAAGTTTACTGGTGTTGTCATTGGCCTCCTGTTTGGTTAACTTCAAGACCCGGTTGGACCTGTTCACTATGAACTCTACCCTTTAAAAAAATGGATGGCTCCAATGCTGTGGATGATAATGTTTCACATTGTGTCACCACAACTTTTATTTGAACGCTAGATTTATTTTTGTGAATTGTCCATCCATCATTTAAAGGGAACAGCACTTTATTGTTGCACTTTCATGAAGTTGGGGGAGCTTGTGTGAGACACAGCCCTCAGCCTAATCCAACACTGGAATATACTCATAGACTGCATGGGTGACCCCCTCCAGGCTTCACGCTGGTCCTTGAATGTACCCATAGACTGCATGGGTGACCCCCTCCAGGCTTCACGCTGGTCCTTGAATGTACCCTAACTGTATGGGATGTACCCTGTAGGGGCGCATGCGCAGAGCGGTGGACGGAAGCCGCTGCTGCGTGGCTGGCCGCTGGCCGCTGTCTTTCCTCATCATCGCGCCTTCAATGACTTGTACCGACTCGGAATTCTTCACCCACCTCTCTCCCTCCGCCGCCTCTCTCCCGCAAACTCAATGCCGTTGATGTGATTCACCAGGAAACGGGATCCTCTTCCTGACTAACTAACTTGGAGCTTATTATCGGTACGTGCTGCTAACTAACTGTGAGAAGCTTGGGCTACTTCGATTTTAACCAAAGCTGTTTTTTAAGCTTAGGTGTAAACAAAGTGCTTGGGTGCCGGGCTTTTCTCTAAATTAGATTGCTTGCTAAGCCGAGGTAGAAGCTAATTGCTAGTGTCAGATTAGCTTTGATATACGGAAGCCAAAGATACACCCTGCTGATGCTAGCATGTTAGCTAATAAATTGTATGTGTCCATGTTAGCAGTAACTTAACCCCTGTGTACTGTACCGTAAAGAACATAGCATAGTGGCAGCTTAAAGGGCAATGTCACTTGTTCTGGTTATAGTATAGTCTTATTAGGGAATATGAAGAAAAAGTTTTGAACCTGCCATTCAAGTGTAAATATCGAGCTCAGTTATACCTGGATGAGGTGGGTGATGTACATGTTAATATGTTAAAATTAACTTGAAATACTACAATATTTACAAAGACGAAAGTTCACTCATCCATTCCCTCCACCTCATTCATTCATTCATTCATTTTGGGTGATTTTTATGCAGCATGATTCTTATAATTTCATAGCTGCTTCCTCAACACTGAACTCCATAGTGTGCCATGTAGGGCTGCACTGATTAGTCTATTAATTGATAAATTGTTCCAAAGGAAAATCTGCAACTATTGATAATCAATTCATCGTTTTAAAGCAAGAAAAATGCCAAACATTAGATGGTTTCCGGCTTCCTCAAATGTGGGATGGAATGGGATTTGCTGCTTTTAATCTGCAGATTAACAGCATGAGGTGCATCAGTATCTGTGTCGCAGTTCCTGTACAGTTTCCTGTAATTCAAACTGGGGCTGCAACTAACGACTATTTTCATTATCGATTTGTCAGCCGATTGTTCTATCAATTCTTCTTTTGGTTTAGAAAACATCTGAAATCTGTGAAAAATGCCCTTCACATTAGTGCACAAGGTCACATCATCAAATGCCTCTTTATTTTGTAAATATTCAATTTACTATGATGCAATACCAAGAAAATTCTCTCATTGGAGGATCAAATGTTAGGCAGTTTTACTTAAAAGAGGTGGTATTATGCTTTTTGCCTTTTCCCCTCTCCTTTATTGAGTTATATACCTTTTTTGTGCATGTAATAGGTTTACAAAGTGAAAAAGCTCAAGGTCAAGCCCAAAGTGAGTTCCCATCTCCCACAGAAAACACTCCTGTGAACTGCTTGAAAACAGCTTGTCTGTAGTCCAGCCGCTTCCCTTTCTAAACGCGCCTCATATAACGCTCGCCAAGCAGCTAGTCCGACATGCCCTCAAAAACACCGGTGGAAAAACACTGAGCTGAAGTACACACCTCCCCTCTTCCTTCCAAACACTAGCTACCCTCCAGGCAGTCAGTGGACATAAAGTTGTTTCTGTGATGTAGAGACAGATACTTTTGTTACAGATTAATAACTCACCACTCTGAAACTCTTGCTCCAGTCTATGTTGCCAAGCTGGTCGGCAACATGCACAGCTGAAACAAAGTCTCATTTACTGGCTTCTCATTGGCCCGCCCTTCTCTCCTTCTGATTGGCTAGTAGTCCTTAACTAGGAACTGTGCATGTGAAACTCCCAACAAAGATCATTTAGAGACAAGATGTATCACTCCATAGCTAAAACGAAGCGTTCAACACAGGGTGAAAAGAGGAGCTACAGCAATGTGCAGTATGGAAAAAAATATGGTGTTTTTTGAAAATTAAACCACGTAAACCTGTTCTGGTACAACCCCTAAATAGGATTTTGAACCTGAAAATGGGCATAATACCACCTCTTTAAAAATTACTCAAAGTAGTTGCTGATTAATTTTCTTTAGATCGATTGATCAACTCAACTCTAATTGACACCCCTGTTATTAAATAATATTGTGTACCTATTTCCAGGTGAATCATATGATAATATGTGGTTACCATGTCATCTGGGGTGGAGGTGGCTCAGGGGTAGAGCTAATAGGAACATTGGTGGTTCCATCGGTGGTTCGGTCCCCAAAGATACTGAAAACCCAAATTGCTCCCGATGGCATGGTGTATGAGTGTGTGTAAATGTTAATTTCCGTCTCTGACATCAGCGTTATGAATGAAAGTGCTTTGAGCTGTCAGAAGACTAGAAAGGCGCTATGCAAGTACAGACCACTTACCATTTATCTTTGGTCCACCTGACCACCCACTTTATACTCAACTGATAGCAGGCGCAACATGAAAACTTGAGGAGATTTAAAGAAATAAAAAAACTAAAAAAGTCGTTTTTTTCCAGATTCACATTTAAGGACAAAAACAGTCAACTAACTTACATATTTATTTATTTTAGACCAATGAGTAAAGTATTGGCATTGTGGATCACCTTGTTTTAAGCTCTCCAATAATCAGAACTTTTATGTTTATTTTTGACCATCAGACTTCTCAGGTTGTGTGGGACAGGTCTGCTTACTGTCACCAGAATGAAAACTGAATATAGAGAAGCAGCATTCTGTTTTTATGCACCAAACATCTGGAGCAAACTCCCAGAAAACTGCAGGTCTGCTGCAAAACTCTGTTCTTTTAAGTTTAGGCTGAAGACTTGAATGTTTGCTGCTGCCTTTGATTAAATCGAATTTAAGACTTTTGATTTATATCCTACACCACACTACTCTTTTTAAATTGTATTAAATTGTCTTTTTTTTATATAGTATATGTTGCTTTTATGTTTTATGTAAAGCACTTTGAATTGCCTTGTGAAATGTGCTCTACAATTAAACTTGCCTGGTCTTGGCTTTGAAGAAGATATCTGTATCTTTGGTGGAGGTCTGGGGGGAGTCCAATATGGTTCAGGGCTCTGTCTCTTAAATGGTCATTCTAACACTCTCACATATGGTTAACATAGGGGGAAAATTGTTCAAATCGAAAAGAACCCAGTTTGTTTATTTAGTTTTTTATACTTGTTATGTGTTTGAACACTAAACATTGGTATGCAGCTCTTAAATCCCATTACCAGTATTCACAATAAATAAGTCAAGCCCTTTTGAATGTTAATGGTTGATATGAGAGAAATAATTGACTGATTTCCTTGTTGCAGGAGTGTTTGGGAGCATCATGTGGAGGAAGGCTTCAGCAGCGGCCCTGCTGGCATTAGCTGTTGGCTATTTCTACCATAGCAGCCCAGACCTGCCAGAGCAGATTCTGCAGTATATCAGCCTTCCAAACTTTCAGTCATCATCTCAGAGCCAGAACAGCCTCGAGCAGGTGATCTCTGCTGCCTGGGAGAATCTGATAACTCTGCCGACCCGGCAGTGGAGCAAAGTGGCAGTAGGGTGAGTTAGACTGTTGAACTGTGGGACTGTCACTGTTAGAAATAGATCCATGTCTTTCTGTCCCCTGAAGTTGATATTCATTACTGTGTATGTGCTCCTGGACTCGATGTACTGCACACTGTGGCATGCTGAGAGGCTGTAGTTAGCTCAGCTAGTGAGAAGGAATGTGTTGTCATGAGTCAGTCACAGCTCAGATGGCTTGGTCCAAGACATCGGTGAATTCATTTACCGTCTATACGTGGCCTATAGCCTGTAGGCTGCTTGAGAATTGCCAACACACAGGATCAGTGTTCTAAAAAAGTGGACGGCGATGATTAGCTGGACCCGAAAGACTGCCTACTATAGAGATGTAGAGATTGTTTCTACCAAGGAGAGAAGTGAAGGGGGGGACTTTGAAATGGCAGTTTTGGCATTTTTATCTTCCATAATGTTAAAAATTTGAAAGTGAAGCAGAATATGTGGGTTTGAATCATCCTTGATTGCTCAAAAGTGGCCGTGGCTTAGTGAATACAGAGCGATACTGAAATATTAAAATACTTTTTAGAATAAGCAAAAATGACACATTTGTACTGCATGTCTGTAAAGGGGAGACTCGTGGATGACCATTAGAACCCATTTTAATTGAGATACCTTGAGGTGAGAGATCAAGGGACCAGGGTGGGAAATGATTTTCTATTGAGTGGTCAGTGGCTGATAGATGTTCACAATTTAAAAAGTTAATTTTTCACCCTGCAAGGCACCAGCCATGCCAGTTTTTCCCTCGCCAAAATGTTGCCTACATTTGGGGCATTATTTAGCCCCCTTCCCAACAAGCTAGCATGACATGGTTGGTACCAGTGTGGTCACTATAGCCTTGAGCCATCCATACCCCCATATCGTTATAATATATACACTTTTTTTTGTCAAAGCCATAATATAATTACAACTAAGTTATTAACTACCATATAACTTGTACTCAGTATTTCTCTTCTCTTTACCTCCTCTCTTGTTAAGGGTGAATGCCTGTGTCGATGTGGTCGTGTCAGGGGTTGGACTGCTGCAGGCTCTGGCCGTGGATCCTGGCACAGGCCTGGATCACGAAGTTTTGCACTCCAAAGAGGACTTGAAGGAAGCCTTCATCCATTATATGGGGCGTGGAGCAGCTGCAGAGCGCTTCTTCAGCGACAAGGAAGTCTTTCAGAGGATTGCACGTGCAGCAGCAGAGTACCCCGGTGCGAAGGCAAGGATACAATACTCCCCAAACTTTCTCAGAGGACGACTTCTTGTTGTTTTATTGATCCTTTTTTTTCAATGATCTTCCTTCTGGTAAATTTTACTTTTGTCTTCCAGCTGTATGTGGGAGGTAACGCTGCCCTCATTGGTCAGAAGCTTGCCACCTACCCTGATCTGATGGTACAGTAGCTTGTTTAAACTTCTACTTACATTAAATAAAGAAGCTCTTAAAGATTTGTCTGGCACATTTAAATAAACATTGAATATTGAAGCTGCTCAATCAAATTATTTCAGGTAGATGAGCAATTTTGAGTAATGTTTTGGGGTCTTCACTGGACAAAAGGGCTAAAGAAATAATAAACCTGGGAAAACAAATTCTTTACATTTACACATTACAAGAGGATGCAGTTTTATAATACGAAAATGTGTTTGGTGGCCTTCATATTAATTAAACATAAAGTACTAGATTGGTTCAGGATCAAGTGCTTATAAGTTGACTGTTCTTTACGCCAGGTTTTGTTATGTGGACCTGTTGGTCCTAAACTTCATGAGATGCTGGATGAGCAGATAGTTGTTCCCCCAGACTCTCTGCAGGAGACGGATGAATTTCACCTCATCCTGGAGTATAAAGCAGGTAAAGAGAAGAGCAAGATGCTGCAGCTTCTGCAGGATTCCTTCAGTTTGTAAAGATGTGGAATAAAACAGTTGAATTTGGTCCTTGTCTGTAGGTGAACAGTGGGGTTCAACTCAGGCACCTCAAGCCAACCGCTTCATCTTCTCTCATGACGTGTCTAACGGGGAGATGAGCTCGCTGGAGACGTTTGTAGCAAGTCTGGAGGACTTTCAGCCTGACCTGGTCGTCCTGTCTGGGCTCCACATGATGGAGGGTCAGGGCAGACAGCTGTGGGAGGAGCGACTGAAAGAGGTCAGAGGCTGAAAGCAGTCCTTAGCAGTTTCTCCACCTGTTTTTTTTTAATTGACAAAGCTGGTGTTTTTGCATGTTTTGGCCCATTTACTGCAAATCATAAATACTTAGTTTGTTATTTCTTTCTGCTTTCCAATTACAATGTCTTGAACTTTAATCACTTAACACAACGTGCAAAAACTCTGGTGTGGTTTACATTTAGTTGATTCTTCAACCCAGAACAATTTTAAAAACGTTACATGATTTTATTGCTAAGCTTATGTCCAATTTAATGTTGCATGACAAGGAAGATTCCAGGTAAAAAGCTAAAACAGAGATTATATTCATCACAAAACATGTATTATCATTATTAAGAGTATGATGCTCAGGAGTAAGGAATATGTATGCATGGTCACATATTAATGACTCAAATGATATACATTTTAAGGGGAGCGTATCTAACATCTTGTACTTGCTTCCTCTTCACAGGCTGTGTCAGCCATATCTGACATTCGTAAAGATATTCCCATCCACCTGGAGCTGGCCAGCATGACCGACAAAGACTACATGAACAGCATCATGCAGGAGGTATAATGTCAAACAGTTGTCTAAAAGAGTCTTTCATGTAGTGAACTGCGCAATGTTCTTTACAGAGAAAAGATGAGTGTGTTCAAAATCCACAAATCCCTGAAGGGTTCTCTATAGTTAATTAGTTTTTTTCCTGCTTCCTGTTAGCAGGTTTTGCCCATAGTCAGCTCCATTGGGCTGAACGAGCAAGAGCTGCTCTTCCTCTCTCAGGCTGGTGGCGGACCTCATGCAGACCTGGCTGCCTGGAAGGGCATTCCAGATGTGGCCCGAGTCAGCGACATCCTCCTCTGGATCCTGGAGCAGCACGGGCGTAGCGACCCATCATCTGAAGCGGAACTAACTCGTATTCACTTCCACACACTGGCCTACCACATCCTGGCTACAGTGGACGGATACTGGGGGAACCAGGCATCAGCAGTGATGGCTGGAGCCCGAGTGGCCAGCAGTCAGGCCTGTGGTCTTGAGTCTGTTGACGTTAGCAAAGTGGAGCTCAAAGCCCCACTAGAGTTTCACAGCTCACACAGCGAGCCGCGAGAGAAGCTGTCCCTAAACCCAGCAGAGCCTGCTGCTGTGTGGCGCAGAGGAAACGTCACCTTCCACCTGACGCCGGTGCTGGTCTGCAAACAGCCACTTCGGACAGTAGGGCTTGGCGATGCCATCTCAGCAGAGGGACTAGTTTACTCAGAGTTGAAGACTCAGCAGCCCTTCTGAGGTTTGCTAGAAGCTGACACTCCATTTGTCTGGAAAACGTGTTTCTAAACTTGTTCAGAACCTCGGTGTCCTGAATCAGGTTCTGTGTCTTCCTTCCTGAAGCTCCACTGAGTTTAGTAATGTGATCGATGGTGATAGTTTTAAAATTTTGCCTGATGACTCCTCCAGCCTGCTCCGGCCCTCTCTGTTCTCCCTCCTCTAATCTTCCAGCAGACACAGAAACTGAGGCAGAGCTTTACAGAAGTGGACCGGGCTGTGAGGTGGCCAGACTCTATGCACTGTGTGCAGCTCAAAGCCATCTTCACAAACTCCAAAGAGTTTTGTTCACCAGGCTCACCTAATTTACTTTGACCTGCCTATCTTCAGTATGCTGTGCCTTGAGAAACGAAATTAGAAATTTTTATTATTAAATATCTTATTCATATTTCAGAGCAAAACTAAAACAAGCTTAAGCATCACATCAGTTACCCTTCTCAGATAGCTATATGTGCACACACATAAACAATTGTGTTTGACTGGAAACTGATGAGCGTCTTACTATATGGTCGAATCTAAGTGGTATTCTTGATATTCTGTGTTTCTTAAACTTTTTGTATATTCACGTCAAATATTTACTAGATCACTGAAACCTCATTCTCCCATGGATATCTTGACTTCTTTACGTGTAATAACTGTTATCGATATACTTGACATTTTTGTTATTTGTCCTGAGAGGATCAAAATACTAGCAAATGTGACAAAGTGTGTGTTTTTTCAGTTTTTTGGTCTAAACACTCCCACTATAAAGATGTTTGGAAACTACGTGGCACAAAACAGTTGTTATAGAGTTATCATAATCTCTGTTGGCTGCTCTACGTTATAAGTTCCTGATCCAGCGTCTGTATACATTTTTGATCAAATAATGAAATGTTACGCTTATAAATGCAAAATTAAATGTGGTTTAGAAGGTGATCTTTTATTTATGCAGTAAAGCTCAGTTTACACTCAGATGCCAGCTTGTTCACCTAAAGGTTCCATTTGCAATTAAATGTAAAATATAATTCCAAAAAGAGGCATAGGACATATGTTATCAGGGTTACTGTACTTGTTTGTTTACTTTGTACAGCATTTCAGTTCCTGCTTTTCCTCACTTATAAAATGTGAGTATGTAACATGATCGGCTAGAAACCCTTAAAACTGGCCAGTGTAACATACTGTAAGAAAAGCTTCCTGATTTAAATTCTAGCATAAAAGTACATTATGCTTTTTCATGGGTTCGTTGTTTTTAGCTTGCTTGGGAACGCCCACATCATGTTAGATGTATAGTATGAAACTGTCAGAACAATGTATTTGTATACCTCACATGGCTACTGAAGGCATGCGATAATGGAGTCTTAATGGAAACGTACAACAACAAAGATGTATGGCATTTTATTTAGCAGAATTAATTCTTTGCACTACTAGGAAGTGGCAGGTGTACCTGCAAAGGTGAATGTAACCTTAACTCCGAACCCCCCTTTTATTTTTTAGCAATGACAATCTATTCAATTTTCCTCATTTCATAGTCTCATGTTTTTAACATTTGTAACTGTCAACAAGTTTCATTTACTTGTAGTTTGTCATTAAAATATGTACGAGAGTAGTGCTTGGTTGTGGTGCAGCAGATTTTTGTGCATATTTGTCAGTATTGAAAGAAGTGCTGTCGTGATTAATTCAATATGGGCAACTTACATTGATAAGCAATTTTAAAATGTTTGTCAAGTAAAATGGCAAACATTTTCTGGTCCCAGTTGCTTGGATGTGTATAATTGCTAACTGTTAAGTGATTAAGTTTGAGTTTTAGAATGTTTGTTGAACTAAACAAGATCTTTTGAAGATACTCTGAGAAATTAGGTGTTTCAGAAATGGGTAAATTTATTGGTAATAAAAATAAACGTTAGTTACAACCCAATTTAAAATAGTAAGTGGTAATTCAGTAGAAACTATTCTAAGCAATCTAAATATTTTGATCATTTAAAGATGCTTACAGGGTTCAGCAAAAAACAGCTCAGTGGATCAGAAATACAGTGTGTAATGTAAAAGGTTTATTAATATTGTGTGGGCTAAAGATGATAAATAAGTGTGTTTCTCTACGTACATACAAAACATTGCCTCTGTATAAGAGAGTACTTGGGAACAAGGATTACCAACTTGGCAGAGGAGGCAGCTGCCCCACATCATCAGACTATTTGGGACCTCAGAGCACCCATATTCAATGTTTTGTATGTTTTGCGGCAATTTGATTTATTGCAATATGTATATATCAATAAATTATCATTTCTACTGAAAGTGAAATGACAAGGTCCTTTAACTGAGTCTTGCATTGACTGTGAGGCTCTGGGGATTTCACTTACACACAGATCACAAGGGACTCTCGCTCACAGCTAAATTAAAGTCCTGACTCATTCTGCGCCATGGGTCACGAGTAAGATGTGTTTTGTAAAAAGTGCCAAAAGCAATGCAAGACAACATTTTCTAATGTGTCAAATTTCAGCTTCCATGTTTAATATTGGATGAAACGGTCACCTGTCTTGTAAAAGACCAGATATGTCAAAGAAGATATATTTGTGCTGACATGGTGCGTATTGCTAAGTAAATCTTGAATCTTTAATTTGTTTACGTGAAGGTGACAGGATACATACACAATGTAAAGAGAGATAGTGGTGGTGCAGGATATCATTAGGGGGCCTGCAGCTTTTGTTTTTGTTGTTTTCCCCAGGGCCCCAACGTGGGTTAACCTGGCCATGCTTGGGAGAGATCCCAAGACTCACCATGCTGCTACATTAGTGGTTTACAGAATAGAATATCAAATATTTGAGAGTGGTAAAAGTATGTTAACTTGTATAAAACCTCTATTTAGCTGTTAGCCTGCTCAGTATTTACACAGTATGATCAGATCCTGTACCAAATCATTTCCAATAGAATCAGAATCAGAAGGAGCTTTATTGCCAAGTAGTGTTTTACACATACAAGGAAATTGCATTGATGATAAGGTGCTACAGGTAGAAAAACATACAGCTGACATAAATAGAGATGTAGAAATATATAAATATGGAATAAACAAATGCAAGTTATATAAGAATAATAAAAGTAATACAACTATTTGCAGATAAAGAACAATGTGGCAGATATTGACATGTGCATTACTCTGGTTTGTGTTGTGCAGACGTATTGCAACGGGAGAGAAAACTAAATACATAAATATATAAATTGACAATATAAAAAAAATAAAGATTAACAATTAACAACAAATATGTGCAATGTGCCAGGTTTGTGCATGATATGAAATGAAGTGATATTTACATGTGCAGAGACGTTTGTATAATTTGAAAGGGGGGAGTGTCAGTGGGGGACCCGGTGACCGGGCCTTGCTGAGACTAGCTGCAGACGGGAACAATGTCCTTACACTGCTGAGGAATGCTGGATCTCGGGCAAAACGGTGTTACGCGTCTGCATCTGATTGGCTAAAACGCTCAACTACGTGAACCAATCAGGGCCCCGTGCGTCTGCGCGCTGCGTTAAAGTCCGGCCCCTGTGTCGTGGAGGCAGCGCAGCCTGGAGCGGCCGCCGCGGCAGTCTCCTCCCCGGATACCGCACTCCTACCCCCGGCTCCTATAAAACAAGCACGACTAACAGGCCGTCCCCGGGCTGCTCATTTTTCTTGTTGATGGTTAGACTTTGCGAGAGAAGGATGAAGTTCCTTGTAGCCGTTACAGTCATTGTGGGATCTCTGATTTTTCTCGCTTTCCCAAATGGCTCGTCTGCTGACGAGAAGAAGAAAGGCCCCAAAGTAACTGCGAAGGTAGGTGCCTGCTCAGTAGCTAACGTATCATGCTAGGGGATGGTGTAGGAAAATCAAAGCTCTCCTAGCTGCAGATTGTAAAGCCACGTCATTCGTGGTTTTGCCTCTAGTGGTTCATCCTTCGCTAAAAGCCGGGAAGCTAACGTCAGCTAGCAAAAGGCTAATGTAGCCGTTAACGGCTGATGTAGCTAACGTTACCGTCAGTTGGGTTGGGTGCAGTAATGAATGAGATTTACAGTTTTATTAATTGGTGTATATAAGCGGGTTAGTCGCTTATGTCTGACCAGGACAGCAAACCGAATGAGACCTGTAACCCTGGCCTTTGCTCCTTGCTAATCTCAGTGGCGCTAGCATAGCTACCTTAGCCAGTACTTAGGCCTTTATGTTAACTGTCTGTATTTTAAAATGTTTAAATTGTCAGCTGCTCACATCCACTTAAGGCGTATACTATACTCATTTAGCTAACTCCTCGGCTGCTGCTCAGTGAGGCTTATCAGACGTAATGTCTGGCCGTGTTGTGTCTGGGTGTAGCCACGTATACAGTCACAGGGAAGCTTTGAGCTGGTCAGCAGCTGACCGAGAGGCTCTTTGTTTCCAGTGTAAAACTGAAGACTACTCTCATTCACTTGCAACAAATATTATTGCGAAAAACCTGCAAGTCCAAACCACATTTCTGTATACATGCATGTCTTATTAAAAACTGTCATACACTGCAAAGCAGTAGTTTGCACTGCAAATGGTGAGCTAGTGAGTCAGTTATGAGAACAAAACCAAAGGGTCTGAACTATAACTTCATATCTGTAATTTTATCATATTGGCAAAATATCTCAAGAGAAAATAACAATAGAATTAGATTTTTGTCACACAACTGGGATAAATCCTAGATTAACTTGCATCAAAGAATAAATGTCTCTTAAAGAGACAGTTATCAAGAAAGCAGTCATAATAAAGAAAATGGCTGCAGGCAAACTTCTCCATCAAAAGGAGTGGGTTGCGATTATCGTTGAATGAAATTATATGGTGTATCAAACCTTCAGATTAAGACTGATATCATCAATATGTAAGACACTGGAAAGAATGCACTATATATTTGCCTACTCATAGAAAGATTCTGCGCTTGTACGGTTATGTCATCCCATCCATTATGATTTAAAATGTCAATAAAAAAATGTGTTTTCCTTCGTCATGGAAGGTACTGAGGTGTAAAACAACTAAATAACTTGACTTCTTTTTGTAGGTTTTCTTTGACATTCGGATTGGAGATGAAGATGTTGGAAGAGTTGTCATCGGGTTGTTTGGGAAAACTGTTCCCAAAACGGTCGACAACTTTGTGGCTTTGGCGACAGGAGAGGTGAGAATGTTCACAATGTGTACCCAAAGTGCAACAGTCTGCAATTATTGGCTTGGCCCAGTAATCACCAGATTGATGACTGTGAATTTAAATGAGGGGAAGAAAACACTGTTAAAGCAGATATAAACAAAATTGACACATTCAAAGATGCGTTTATTTTTGTTTTTTTCCACACTAAACGGGCTTGTTAAAGGTGTCAGAGTTCAGTGGGTATTGTTGTTGAAATAAGCCATATTGTATACTTTTAACTTGTGGTCAACATCCTTGTTTACTTTCCCAAAATGCCATGTCCTGGAGACACACTTTGAATAAGTAATTTGACTCTCATTCACATGGTCTGAAATGTCAAATGCACTCAACCAATATTCCCGCAAGCCTTCTCAAGCGTTGTGGTGTTTGTTCTAATTAAACAGAAAGGATTTGGTTACAAGGGCAGCAAATTCCACAGAGTCATCAAGGAGTTCATGATCCAGGGTGGAGACTTCACCAGAGGAGATGGCACTGGAGGTAAGATGGCCACTGACACCTGCAGACTGGAATTTATGTCAGGATGCAGACCTGTCTCTGCAAGAACAAACTTGGTCACGACTGTCTGCATCAGTTCTGTCCTGAACATCAAGACTTGAGGGCTGTTTCACACATGGGCTCTTTTATGGATATTATCAAAAGAGTTGAACTGTGCAGGAAAATGCCACTTTGCAGTGTGTACCTCACAATTTTTTAATAAGCTCCTAAAGTGTATGTGTATATATATATATATATATATATATATATATATATATATATATATATATATATATATATATATATATATATATATATATATATATATATATATATATATATATATATATATATATATATATATATATATATATATATATATATATATATATATATATATATATATATATATATATATATATATATATATATATATATACGCACGCACGTACATGGCAGGTGCTGTTCATTATTCATGAAAATGTATAGATAAAGTAAAGATAAACATCTGGAAGCAATCAAGTCATAAGTGAGATGTAAAGACTGCTAGTTTGTGGAAATAACATAATTTCAGCTAATTGTCTTGTACAGATGACATGAAATGTCAAATGACATGAGGGTTTTTCTCTTTTTCTTTAAATGAAGGCAAGAGCATCTATGGAGACCGCTTCCCAGATGAGAACTTCAAGCTGAAGCACTACGGCCCTGGCTGGCTCAGTATGGCCAACGCAGGCAAAGACACAAATGGCTCTCAGTTCTTCATCACCACAGTTGAGACTCCATGGCTTAACGGCAAACATGTGGTCTTTGGAAAAATTCTGGAAGGGATGGTGAGTACCAGGCCCGACGGCGGTTGCATACTTGGGTCACTGTCTCACTCACATCTGGGGAAGTTAAACACACAAGCTGCATGTAGGTGACTGACCAACCAAATCTAAAGAGTGTTAATGTCTGCTATCCAAACGCTTGTCTGTTGGATAGCAGAAGGTTTCCTATTGCCTTTCTCGGGTGCACAAAGAGTTGTGATCAAACAAAGGAGTGAGGTTAATATAAAGCACACTGGTCAGCTTTATGTAACGTCCTGACACTTTTCTAAAATGCAGTTGCATAAATTGACAACCTACTTTAACTCTGACGTCAGTGACTGAACAGAAGTGATTGTGTCATCTGGATTGTAAATGGTAATCTGCACCAATAATGTCCTGAATATTTTTCTACTTCGGTGTTGTTTCTGTTCAGTGGCACAATCTCAGGGTCAGGAAAATATCAAATGTCCAATTTCATTGTCTACGTCTAAAATTTATTGATTACTCTGAATGCATATAAACATAATGACAACCTACTTTCACTAATATTCCAAAATGACTGAGAATTATGAATCTAAATGTTAACACTGAAGTTTAGTAGCATAAAAGACAGTGGAGCTCTAGATTCAAATGTGCAAGTTGCAAATGGGTCTATCAGAAAACAAATGCATTGACCAGTGGTTGAAAGAATTGATGTACATTTACTACAATGATGTACTGGATTACCATTATTTTCGAGGGTCTTCAATTTTATACTTAGGCCACTACATTTATCTGACATCTGTATATCAACAAAACAGACAAGGAAAAACAATTAAACTATGTAGCCTACCTAATTGCAATAGAAGCGCACAAATCAAGGACCGCTGAACAAATTAACAAAATCTTAAGTCAGCAACATTAGGCAGGCTAAATGTTCTTCTTCTGAAATGCTCCGTGTGAGATGCGTAGCCTGCACCGGACTTAGATCTCAATATAGCAGTGATAATCTTCCAGCTTTATGTATAATAAAAGCAGTAAAAAGGACCAATCTGCATAATGACTACTTTTATTACTTTTGTATTAGTTGTATTCTTACGTTATGGTGCTTAAGCAAAGGATCTGAATACTTCCTCTGCACTGAGGTTCAGCCAGCCATTACAGGCTAATCAGTCAAAATGAAACCGTCATGTACACTTTGTACGGGGGGGTATTATGTTACTGCTAACTGTTATCTAAAAACTTTTTTAATTAGATTTTGACTGCACTGATCCCTTCTGATATCCTCTTTTTCTTTGATGATTTTCCAGGATGTGGTGAAGAAGATCGAAGCCACAAAGACAGATAGCCGCGATAAGCCTCTTAAAGATGTCACCATTCACGATTGCGGCAAAATCGAGGTGGAGAAGCCGTTCGCTGTGGCCAAGGAGTAGAGTGCAGCTGGGGGGGTGGGGGAGTGCAAAGAAAACAGGACTGGGGGGATCGTGCAGGCCACCTCATTTTTATCACCAACAGACCTGTGATCCTGGAAAAGGGGCTTTGGGTCATTCGGTGTCTGTGGCTGCCGTCTTAAAGCACCAGAAGATCATTAACATCGAGCAATCTTGACAACACTCTGGGTCCATTTACTGACGAGCATTCCAAGGTGCACTTAACTGTTCGTTGGGGGGGCGGTTTTTTGTAAAAAAAGAAATCTGGAATAAAGGTTTCGATTTTTCTTAAATTGCTGAGTGAATTTCATTGGCACCATACTAATTCAAGTTCTGCAGGTCTATGTATAACTTGTTTTGGCTTTAGCTGTTACTACTGTGGAAGATGTATGTTAACTTCTTGCGACCACTAGGGGAGCTCTGTACCTAGATGTTTTATTATCCTATCTGGGTGCACTAATGGAAACCCACCATCCTGTTTAAATTAGCCCCCTCTCCCCTGCACTCAGTGCCACACAGGCCAAGAGATTAGATGGAACTTGCATGTTTTCAAAAGCAAATTCTTATTTTGCACAGATTTCTACAAAAAGTAAGACAATCATTAGCTAACAAGACTTGGTGTGGGACGTTCTTGTGAATTAGCTGGACACATGGAGAAATGAAAATGCACATAACTGAGTTATATACCTCTTTACATGTGTATTGGTTATCAGAATCTTGTGAGCCAGGTTCCAGTGTGATGAAGAAGATTCTGAGACCGATAAAGATGTACGTGGCATTTGTCTGAGCGTGGCCGAGGAGCTGCAGTGCCAGCATACAAAGTGTGAACACGTGCAATGCCAAATCTGAATAATTTGGGGATATTTATCCATCCTAGATCAACAGAGGTTCACTATGTACAAATAAGGTTATTGTTCACCTCTATGCATGTGTGAAGAGTCTTAAACTAAAGTCACGCTGTGTGTCATTAAAGCCACATGCAACACTTTCTACACAGCCAGTCTGTCTGTGAAAATAAAGATAATTTCTACCTTTTGGTTTCCTTACAAATGAATAGCAGTGCATCATCATTGAAGCAGCTGCATCCGTCAGTTGACCTATAAGACAGAGGAGAGACAAGAGTTTGACCTATTCTTTTTGGAGAGTGCCTGGCTGTCACATTTTGGCTTACTTTAGCTCAGCAATTGGCCCTATCATGACCTGGGGAAACCTGTGTCATAGTACCCCTAAAATTCTTTCAAAGTATGAGTGATTATACACAAATCTCACAAAGTCTCAAACTGCTCACAATACATGCAGCAGCCAACTGTATCCAGATGAAGCTGATGCATATCTCTTGATAAAGGGAAACTTTCTTACACCTCAGAATAAAACATTCACCTCGTAAACTTCATTCTTTAAATCAGTTTGTTTCATGCTTATTTTCCAAAGGACAGTGACCTCTGGACTAAACATCACAGACTTGAGCAGAGTCAGTCCGAACTGCAGAGGGCCCCCTCACACCACAGATATCAGCCGCGTGGAGGCAGTCCATGTTTCTGGTTTCACATGTGATTTTAGTGCAATAAAATGAGGGAATGTGCATTTCTGTGGCACTCTTGTCTATTCATGATTGTTGAGGATAAAATAGCTCCTCTGGGTTGTCCCTTGTCCGTTCCACTTCTGTCACATTATCTGCAGCAAGAAAGTTGTTTACAGACTTTTTTGCATTTTTTGCTTTTCTGTTCTTCTGTGACAAATATTGGAATTCACTGCACCAGGACATTGTGATTAATGTCAAATACAGAAACAAAACATTAGACACACCTTCCTGTAATTGTTTGGTCTTCCTGATGTTCATGTGGCAAAACTCCCATCGGGAGCTTCATGCGTGTTAAAACAAACACTAAACAGTCAACTTCAGGCGTGTTCACATGTTCTGCTTGACTGGATGCTGTTTTGAGTCATAAATATGGATTGTGGACTGTTTCCAGATCAGATTGGTCTGTTTTTTCCACACTGAATGAGAATGAATAAGAGTCTGACAGAAGTGCATAAATAAAGAGTTCATTATTGTGCATATTAAGCAGCAATAAATGCCTTTGTGCTGGAGTATAGTAGCCATATGGGAATACAATGCAAAAATATCAACTGTCTCTGTATAATGACCAGGAACATAAGCCTAAATTTGGGGGTTGATAAGAGCTCTTACACCATTAAAACTATAATATTAACCATATGTATCAGCTGCCATCTGTAGCCTACCCCTGAAACAATATCCCGGATAATAATTTATATAATTGTAATATAATGCAGTTTATTCCCATGTAGCCATTTTTAGAAGCAGTGTCTGGAAACATGTAGAGGCCATGGGAACAGTGCTGGGTGAGGGAATGGTATTCCTAAACATAACTGACCTCATCTGCTCTTGTCAAATCCTCTGCAGACAGAAGGTAATCTCAAATGTGTTCCAGTTTCACAAGATGGGAAAGTTAATCACTCATCTCTTTATTTGATGGGCTGTTTTTGTCTTTGCATTCTTTGCTAGAGCTGTAAATAGCATGAAATTGGTCCACTTTGAAAATTGATTATATTCAGTCATTTGTACTGGACCCAGTTCAAAATGTAATGAATGTTTTGGTAAGGTCCTCGCTGAAGCAAATTCCATAAATGTATTTGTGGTGTTCCTAATGATAATACTTTACAATGCGTCCCGCGGCATACAGTGAAGAGATGAGAATTTAGGGAATAACATTTCAGAACTTTGGCTTCTTCTGAGTTTTGTACAAAAACTGTGGGAGGAAACCAGAGCAAACCATGCAGGCACATGCAGACCACGCAAACTCCACACAGAAAGGTTTAAACCCAAAACCTTTTTGCTGTGATGCAACAGTGCTACCCACTGCACCACTGTGCCTCCCCCTTACTGTATAAATTCTCTTTAAAATCCTGCCAAATGCCAGATTGTTGTTCCACAGGTCATTCCGTACCTCATAATATCAGAATAGGTTGTGTCAAGCTTTAGATTTGACCCAGACCTGATGCCTCAGTTTCCATGCTATGATCCTGTAATACGGCAAGCACACACCCTGACTGAAAAGACTTCCCACACAGGGAAAGTCCATCTTTATTATCAGACATGGTTTAGTATGAAGTTGCATAATTACAGAGGAGCGTGTCAACGCTATGATCAGAGTATCATTTGGGAAGATTATCCCACTCTAAAATTATAGAATCCAATTCGCCTTGATGAGCTGTGATATAAGTTTGATAGTTTGTAAAGAGTTGTAAAAATGGATGTTGCGCCTCATGGGGTTTCAACTTTAAATTCCTCAATATAATTCATTGTAATGTATGTTTTGTAATAAGTGGTTGAGGGGAAATATGCTTCAGGATTGCTAAACAACAATCCAGCCAAGAAAAACAGCAGGTCCATGCCCTGCAGTCCTTGTTTTGCCCAGATTCACTCAACCATAGAGTGACTCACCAGAAGGAAAATATGGAAAGAATTCCCTGGAGTCGGCACAACCGTGGTCTTGGTTAAACCCTCTGTTGTTCGGTTTGGCCTTGTTTGTGGCGATTGGGGATTGTCCGGTGAAACAGTGTTATTCTACACTTATACTGGCTTTACTGGAAAAGCCGTGATGGGCCGGACATTTTTGGCATAGCTTCCTGCAAGAGGCTTTGTCAACGAGATTAAAAGAACACTAGAGAGAATCACAACACCAAGCGTGGAGGTGTTCTTTCGCACTGGAGGATCGAACGTCCACATCCTGCCTCCTGTCAGGGACCAGTGAAGCATGTTTGAGTTTGAATGTAGCTGATAGAGAACAGGTGCATGTGCTGCAATTTAATATCTGGAATCCCTCAGGATATTGTCAGACTGCTCAATGAGAAGATGGATTCTTGCAAGGCCTGGTGTTTTTCATATGTAGCTTTAAAAAGCAGTGAGACCCAGTTTGGTCAGAGATTTGGGTTAGAGGGTGACATGAGAGTGGATTTTCACTCCTGTGCCATCCCGCTCCCACAAAAATAACCCTGTCCTAATCTCATAACAGAGTTAAAACAAAGTCCTGTCCCAATCCCGGAAGAATGACTCCTGTCCCATCCCGTTCCCAATTAAAAAGAAAAATGTGTTTATTCATGTTAGAAATCCATATTTAGCCTATAAATAACAAACAGATCTATGATTCCCCTCCTGCTCGCACCTGTCGACTTTCTTTCCTGTCCCCTCCCAGATTTGTGAAACTTGTGAAACTGAGACTTTATTTCTAAAAAGCAACTACTAACAAATAGTGAGTTATTCAGACCATCAGATCATAACATTGATAATCTGGCAACTGAATGGAAGCAAGGGGGTATAAATTCTGACAGGTAATTGGTGAATGAGGAAGATGTGAGAAGGATTCAGGTGACTGGGACCGGTAGGAAAGTCTCAGGGCATCAGGGGACTAGGGCAAGTGGAAATGTGGCTGGACAGAGGAGCAGATTAAATAAAATAAACTGAGGTAGACACTGTGGCACCTGGTGGTAGTTTCTGACTGAATGTATAATGTTCTAAGAAAAAGCTTTATATTCCCGACAACTGCAGGATCAAATTCAAGCACGTCCACAAAGATAAGGAAACACAAACATGCAGTGTACAAATCAGAGGGGAAACAGTTCGACAAGAGAAGTATAAATATACAACACAAGCAGCAGCGTGGGAAAGGTCATTGTGGGAACTGGGCCTTGTTTTTTGTCAATGAGTTTTAGAAAGCCAGGCTCTGACTCCAGTACAGACTTTTGGGTTCCCACCCAGACCTATAGCCGAGCAGTGGTGTCACATCCATTTTTTCATTGTTCTCTGGTTTCCTCTCTGGTTTCTTTTCCCCTTCTTTGCTGCTTGCAGAGTTTGTCATGTTGTTCTCTGGAAGGAGCTTTCTTCGGGCCGAGGCTGCGGTGACACGCCTGGGTTCCCACGATCTCCTGCCCTTCCTCCAGAGTTACTGCTTGCTCACCGCTCTGAACAGGAAAACGGTGGAACAAGGCCACCGAGAGTGTGTGCTAATTTAGGCAGGCTCTGGTGGGTTTCTATTGTCTTTAATGGGAATTACGTGAAAGATCATGTGCTCGTGTCTTCTCTGAAGCTCATCACGAATAAATCTGAGTTATGGCACATGCCTTAAACTTGTGAGACACAAATGTACTTATAAGGATGGAAAGATAGGAAATATCTTTATGACCACGGAAAACATTTTCCAGCGAAGGAGGTTGGGTCAGGGTTAGAGGTTAGAGAGCAGCTAGAGAGCCACAGTGCTTCCTCTATAATTTT